GAAGCAGCTGGAATAAACACATGACTGAGCAGCTTCAGAAACCCACTGCTTCTGAAAATTCATTTACAATAGTAAATTACTGCAAATAAGTAAGTTATCTATGATCCCCACATCAGGTGAGACTTGTCCCATCTTACAAATACTGCTGGCTGTATATAGTATATATAGCTGCATTTACAGATCCCTGATTAAGACAGTAACAAAACTGATGTTGTCTTAAATGGATCCAGTACTTACCAGCAGAGTGTCCAAATTAAGAGAAATCTCAGCAACTTTTAGAAGTAGGAAAAAAGGTCTTACTGCATCTAAGAAATAGAAAAAAGAAAGTCAGCATCACATTTGTCTCACACAATTTTAGCAACAGTGTTTACACTGCAGTTGAGAGATTAGGAATATCAGACATGCTTGCATGAGGTCAACTCCATCACCTTGCTACAATTTCCTCTTATTTAAAAAACAAAACTCAAACTACTTTATTTTTCTTCCTTTTTTTTCCCCAGAGCTTGTTTTCTACCTACTTGTCTTACGAGATAAGAAAGGATCATAAAACTCCCTTTCTTATGGTGTTCTGAGGAACACAGATATTCACACTCTAAATTTTATGTTTCTAGCAGAAAAATCCATGTAAAAATCACACAGAATGATTATTTCAGATGTTAGGTTCAAGGCTGTGCTTAACCAGCAGGGAGGAAGAGGTGCAATGATTATTTAATGTCAGAAAACAAAACACAGGCTCTAAATTGTTTATAAACTTGTGGTCCTCTATTCCTTCCTGGTTTCTACACAAAGGTTTCAAGGAAATATAAGACAGGAAATATAAGACAGGAAACACATATGATGTCTTTTCAATGGCCGTCCAGCTTTTCCATAGAAGAGAAAGGATCCTCTTGTGGATTCTCTTTAACCCCACATCTAAGTCCCAAGAGCAACTCTGCAGGCATAATACTAAAATCCCTTTTCCACTGCAAGCATCAGACCTACAAGTGTGTCATTACGTGACTGTTAAATGCTACAACGTAAAGGTGAGCTTGCTGGACTAACCCGTACAAAGACATATTCTAAATTACCTATATCAAAACATGAAATATTATAAAATTCATATACACGTAGGCTCCTGGGGCGCAGCATCAAAGAAATTCTGCTATCAAACTATCTAGCCAAGAATAAGAACTTACAGCACACACTCATGCATCTTAATTTTTTCACTGAGAGAGTAATCTCCAAATCTGAAGCCCTCCAATATGAATTCCTATGGCATATAATACACAGAAAATGCAGACACAATCAAACTAAGCATCCCTTGGGATTCCCACTGCCAGGTTCATCAAGCCAAGAAGCAGTTTGGGAAAACTAACTGCATCAGCACGTTCCACTGCATTTGGAGACATAGCGTGCCCTTTTTTTTTTTTTTTTTTAAGTTTGGATATCAAAAACGGAAAAGTATGACTGCACAGCTTGGAGCAGCAGCTTTGTTCACTAACATCACTGACTAATTTTCAAGCTCTCTGCGCACTTCCCAGCAACTGAAGCCAAGATAAACACACAGACCTCCCTCAGCAGGTTCACACCCATAAACAACCATAACAACCATAATTAAGTAGAAAATTAGTACAGGCAAACAAAGCTGTCAGAAAGAGCTGTGCCCAGCCCAGCAGTCCCTCCCATGAAATGATGAAACCTGTGGCCACCAGCTGTTGTAATAAACAGATATAGAGCAGCTATGTAAATATTCCACAGTACTCAACTCAGAAAGCCACCAATTTCTGTAGACATTTAAGGTTTTTTTTCCTCTGTCTGTTTAGTCCATCTGATTTTACTGTCTATCACTGGCGGTGCTGAACAACCTCAGCCACTTCTGAACTAGCTGTCCAAGAGAAGAAAGCACACTTTGGCCAGGATAGATGAAACCCTGCCTTGCCTCAGATTCTAGGCCCAAGGATTTTACAGCTGTACTGTATATATACAGTTTCAGGGACAGATTTTACCATGACTTCTGCTCTAACGATCCATGTTGCTGTAACTAGAGATGCCAGCTGAAGCTGGTTAAAAACTGATAGATCTTAATGGCCCACAAGAGAAAAAAATGAAGCAAAGAAAACAAAAGGACATTTACTAGAGATGTAATTCAGAGGTGAGTAAAACCAGCTCTGTTCCCTTGCATGGCCTTGAGAAGACCGCGGTCTGCGAGCCACTGCTGTTCTGTAAAGCCCTATAGAAGACAAGTCACAATATAACTGATAAACACAATTTATAAGCAGATGGGCTCTCTAACTATCCACAACAGCATCAGCAGTTTAAGATTTACTATGAGTTTTGGATAACTGGTCACCAAAACCTAAAGGCCAACAGCTCTCCTGTTTCAAAGTAACTGGAAGGAACTGCTTCAGATCCAGTGCCACCACTCATTTGGTTTTGTTGTTGTTTTTTTTTTTTTCTTCTGGAAATCAATCACGCAGTTCCAATTCTACAAAACTCCTTTTAATATTAAATCCAGATGTACTGGGTTAGAACTAACAATCCTAGCCAATAGATTAGGACTTCCAAGAAAAACCTGGAACACAGGTAATTATTGTACCGACTGATCTGGAAAGAGCAGAAAGAGAACACACGGAGCCCGCCCGAGGAGCGCCCCCGACCCCCGCCCGCGGGAGCGCTCGGAGCCTGCCGCACTGTGATGCCGGACTCGCAGGGGGAACCGGGAAAGGCCGCGGTGATCGGGATGCCCCGGGCCTTGGCCCCGGGCAGGTTCCCCGCGGTGTCGCCGCTCACCTTCCCGCCGCCCGGCCGAGGCTCTGTGCCCGCCGCCGGCCCCGGCGCCGCCGCTCCCGCCCGGCTCTGGGGAGGCCGCGGCCGCGCGCGGCGTTGTGGGGCGGGGCGGCGGCGCCGGCGCAGTGCGGGCCCGGCCGGCACCGCAGCTCCCGGCGGCCCCTCAGCGTCCCGCCCTGTGTCCGCCTGCGAGCGGGACGGGAGGCACCTCCCGGCCCCTGCCTGGGACAGCCGGTGCTCTGAAACATAGTCTGCCAATACGCCAGCTGTCCGCAGCCAGAGGAACCTGACTACGGCACTCAGCTACTGCCCAAAGCGGCCAGCGCCGTTCAAACCAAGCTGGTTCTTTTTTTTTTAAACACACCCCCACTCCCTCGGTTGCGTGTGAGATTAACACCAGTGTTCACAAAGCCTGACCAAAAAAAAAAAAAAAGTTATTTCCGACTAAGAGAGCAGCTGCGGCTGCGAGAGGGCAGAGGTGGAAGGCAGCGCTTGTCATCGCGCTCACCTCGACAAGTCACTTGTCGCCACCCCGAGTGCTGCCAGCGTGGTGCCCGTCTCCTGCCCCAAAGCCCTGTGCTCCCGGGGACTTCTCTGCCAGAGGGCAGCCAAAGCCAACGGGCACTGATGTCTGCGCTCTCGCAGAGAGCTCCTCTTGTGAGGAGCAATTGCTGGAATTTCAGTGCAAACACATGCTGGAATCAGGGATGAGGGTGCCTAGAGGGATGGCTGTGGGAGCATCTTGCAGCACAGGGATCTTTCTCTGAGAACATGAAAGCACATCCCAGCCTGTTGCCCGGTGTGCTTTGCCTCGCTGGGTTTTTGCAGTGATGCTCCCAGGCTGCCCCTTCTCCTGCCACTTCCCAGAGACTTTCACTTTCATTTGCACTCCCAGGTCCCACTGCCCAGCACCCAGAAGGCCCACTGGGGTGCGGCTTGTTAGCCAAGTCTGCAGGAGAGACACGCTGCAGCCTTTCCCCCTACCCAAGAGCACTACTGGTTCCCATCAGCAGCAGACAGCCGCAGCATGGAATCGTGGAATCACTAAGATTGGAAAAGACCTCTGAGACCATCAAGTCCAACCGCTCCCTCAGCACCGCCAAGCCCACCACTAAACTATGCCCCCATATCACATTCCTACACGTTTTTTGAATGCTTCCAGGGATGATGAATCCACTACTTAGCTGACAGAATCAACACTAGACCATGTTGCTCCAAGCCCTGTGCAACCTGGCCTTGAACAAACACTTCTAGGGATGCAGCAGCCACAGCTTTCAAGGGCAACCTGTGCCAGAGTCTCACCATAAATGTTATACTACTGCTTCCCCTTTTTTTCATCCCATTGCATCAGCATCTCCCAGCCTGCAGAGCCCTCAGCTGACAAATTTTATCTCCCCAGGTAAATGGTCCTAAACCAGGAGCATTTAGGATGCTCCTGAATGGAGTAACTTCAAGCTTCCTTTTGATGATTGACCCAGATCAGGCCTCTCGTTGCAGCAGGACATTCCCCCCACACCCACCTGGCACGGGGTTTTGGCAGGATTCTTGCCTGCCTTCCATGCCCTTCTGGCAGAACTTAACCAGTGCCCTCCTGGATTTCCTGGCAGGGAGGACACAAAACAGACCCAAAATCCACGTGGAGCTGGCTCAATTCCTTAGCTACAGCAGGCTGGACAGGCTGAAGCACTCTCTCCAGCATGGCTGAATGTCCCAGGTGGCGCTTGGACCTTTTTCCCAGGCAAGTAGCAATAGGACAAGAGGACAGTCTTAAACTGCACCAGGGAACTTTGGTTTGGAATGAGGAACAGATTCTTTACAGAAAGGATTATTAGACATTGGAATGGACTGCCCAGTGAGGTGGTAGAATCACCATCCCTGGAAATATTGACTGCATGTGACACTCAGTGCCATGGTCTAATTGACAGGGTGGTGTTGGGTCATAGGTTGGACTCAATCTCAAATGTCTTTTCCAACTTGAATCTGTGATTCTTTGAAATGGAGTATCAAAAATTGACAGCCTACACTTAGCTTTAGTGAAAACATATTAGCCTCAAACACAGTAAAACTAGAGGAAAATCAGAATAGGATCCAACACCAAAGATAAAAGAAATGTATGAAAAGCCGTACCTTTCTTCCCAGTGACTGCTTAAATGAAATTTAGAGAAGCAGGGTTTGATACATATACTTACCAAACAAAACAAGACCAAACTAAGAAGACTTTGATGTATTCAGTCTTATTTTGCTTTGCTATCCATTTAATAGCTTTGAAGTAGAAAACACCCTGACAATAAAGGACTTACATTTTATTAAAAAAAAAAATAGAGTGTGTGTTTTGTAATACAAAATCTAGAACATCAGTTATTCCCCAAAATTTATAGATCTGATTGAAAAGCAATCATTTTCTTCACCAAAAAGTAATATACCTAACAACTCCATAAAAGGAGGGAATCACAAATTAAGCCTGGAAATTTGGAATCAGGATTTATACAATTAAGAGGACTACATAGGCACCAGCAGGTGTCAAGAAACCTTCCAACATTACATATCAGCCTTGCCTTTTGTGCTTCTACAAGTCATTTCCTTGCAGCCATTTATTTGTGTTTTTCTTAAAATCCTTAAAAGCAACAAAAACCCTACAATCCAATGCCTGTCACAGTAGCAGAACTGGTTCACCTTAGGAACACCAGACCCTGACAAATTTCTCCATGAGAAATTTCCCTTTGTGTTTCTGATGCCTGTGGCTCAAGATGTAGAGTGGTTGAACTTGCTCCTTTGCTATCTATGCAGGTTACATTCCCTCCATTCATCTCATTTGGCAAAAAATAGTCCAGGCATCATCAGTTGTTGAGTTGTGCTTTGAGTTGGACAAACTTTAATCACTAACTTTACTTTACCTACTTTACTCTGTTAAGTAGGTAGATAACATAAATCAAAAAAACTTGCCCTTTTACCCACTGTACCCAAATGCCTAAGGAACAAATGGAAGGGAGCAGGGAACTCTGCAGTGATGGCAGAGAGAACAAATAAATAGAAGGTCTGCATAGCAACAGCTTCATGTACATACTAAAAATATTAAAATGTGTTGGATCCATGCAGGAAATGCTATCTTCTATTCATTTTTTCTTCTTGGGAAGTTTGTAAAAGTAGCAGTTTATTTTTCTGATATTCTTCATTCTCCCGCTCTGCTTCCTCATATATGGATTTTCTTATATATGCTTTTAGTTCCTCAATTCCTTCTCCAGTATACGTAGATATAGGAATTACCTCTTTGAATTGAAGTGTATTTGCAGGAATCATTTCTTCCTCTAGTAAGTGTAAAAAGTCTGAAAAATCATATTGAAAGAGTTAGTACAATCCCCAAATACTGTATCACTACAAAGCCCATAAAATCCCACTAAATATAGAAAATAAACTTCAATAAATCACAGTAATAAACATAACTGCAATTAGTATACAGCTATTATTTGTTTAATTAGTCTTTTAAAAAATAGCCAAAGCCTCCGAAGACAAGCAGTATCACAGCAGTCATCCTTAATGCTGCCATGAGAAGACACTACACACTTCCAATGAGTATAAAGAAATCCCAAGCTGTAGGGTATGGAAGATCAATGGTCTTCAGCCTTTCTAGTTCTTACACACTCCAGAAAATAGAAAGTAATTCATGCCACTGTAATTGCAAAACTGAAGTAAATCTACATAGATCTGTGCAGAATTTTCATGTGTATATATATATAATTGTATGTATGTCAGTGTCTGCAAGTAACCTCAATGCAGGTTACTCTTATTCAAGACACCTAGACTGGAAACTTACTCTCCCATCTCATAGTTGGGATAGATTGTCTAGGATATTTCCAGTTTATTAAAATCCTTCCCCAACAGTGAAACCAATGCCACTACCAATGAGTATAAACAGAGCTCTAAATGCAGGAAGTGATTTTAAAATATATGTTCAAATAATAAATTTACTACCTGATTTCATTTTCAAACAACTCTTTGCCAATGCAGAGTTACCCAATGAAATCTTAATGCTACTTTTGTCAAAGTTTATTGTTGTAATTTCATTTACCCTGAGGATTCTGTAGTTGTGACATAAGTTCATTCAAGTTATCCTTTGCACAAGGCAAATCCATTTTATTAATGGCAAGAAGTGCGGGCTTTGTTACAAGTTCCTCTTTGTACAGCTCCAGTTCCTTAAAAGAAAAGCAAATTCACCTCAATTAGTATTTATAGTTTCACAAGTGCTACTTCAATTTTACATCTCCTCTCTCATTTGTTTAATTGCCTAAATAGCCTTTCATGCCTAGGCAGCTGTGAGATTGACTCAGGTGCTCAAGGCTGATATATTAAAGCAGTCTGATAGAAGAGAATAAGTGATTCAGTCATTTTTTTATTCAAAGACAGATTTCAGGTAAACAGGCTAGCTCATTCTGAAATGGCCCCTTATTAAGAGGACAGTTCTAGTTTTTGGTTTTTTTCTGATATCCACAAGCACAAAATCAATTTCAGGAAAACTTCAGACCTATAAAATGTATAAGAAAATTATTGGGAAAGTCTTCTGATTCTTAAGCATTTTAATGGACTTCAATTAATATCAGAAAATCACAACCATGAATAAAGTAAAAATAAATAGCAATAGCTGAAATTCAGAAGATTCATCAACTTAAATCACACAGAAATAAATTTGAAATTACATGGTATGTATTATTTTAATCAGAAGCATAGGTAAGAGACAGAAACAGTGAAAGTCTGCAAAACTGGGGCCTGATGTCTCAGCTCTGTTAGGCTGTGCAGTCAGGACACCAAGGCAGGGATTTAACTGCACACATGTATTTCTGCTTCCTAAAATGCTACCAGACTGGGGAACTGAAAATGATGTGTCTTATTACCTTTACTTGACTGTAAGAAATACCCCATATGCTGCACAGATTAATGAATTTTATTATTCATTATGTTGTGCCCAACATAAACTGGAGTGGTTTCACCTGAACAGGTAAAGACTTCATCATTTTGGAAAATCCTAAGCTCGTTAACTGGCCTTATATTATAAATCCAGAAGACACACTAACATTTGAAAATTTCTTGATCAAAACTGAGCCATTTTCTTGGCTCAACGTGTAACTACAACTGCCAAATTGGAAAATGAGAACTTACCTTTGTTAGAAGCAATATAGTTTCAAAGGGTGTTCTGAACTGAGTCTTAATAGACAGTTGAAACCCAGAAATATCAACCTGAAAAAGTTACACAAAAATAAGATTTGTGGTATTAAATTATGTTACAGTATCAAGGTACTCTCCATCAACTACTTTGCAGTGGAAGTCCATGTACATGCCTTCATTCCTGGGCAAATAATAGAGGGCAATTAAACACCAAACTAACATCATCAACACTGGAAACACAAACTGGTTAGTACTGATGCAGTGTTTCTCAAAGGTCTGTTTTTCAAATCTCTTAAGGCATTCTTACAGAAAAAAAAAAGAAAGAAAAAAATTGCTCCATGCTTTAATTATGCTTGGAATACTTCCATGATCTAAATTAATTGGCAATTTTCCATGACAAATTGTATTTAAGGATTTATTATCAGTTGTTTGAGTGTTCCATTCTGTAAGCACTATCACAGCTATATTTATCACAAAACATGCAAATTACAAATTATTTCCTAAATTCCAACTACATTGCAATTAAGATGCATTTTATTTACTGTACTGCCTTTGATTTTAATGAACTGTATATTTCATTTAACTTACAACTAAAAGCAGCTGTTTGGTTCTTTCTACATGTTTGAGGAATTTGTGGCCCATCCCTCTGTTCACATGTGCACCTTCAATCAGTCCTGGGAGATCAGCTACTGAAACCTAGGAAAACAATAGTTTCAAACAAAATATTTCCTACAAGGAAAACCAGAGATTTTAAACTATCAACAGCAATTATCATTTTATATAAACAAAACGTAAACTAATACGTATTGGCTGCTTCAACTTTCATCAGAAGCAGATCAAACAAAATGCTGCTATTACACAGACCTGATGTGCTTCTCATGTTTCCCCTGTCTATTTATTTATAGCTGTGTGCAAATTAGAAAACAGATCTCAGCAGAGGTCTCAAAAAATTTAGCTATTACCTCAGAATAAAACAGACTCCTAAAGGCAAGAAGATTAGGCTATCACATTTGTATAGAATTCAAACTGTCACTGGAAAACAAAATAAAGTCTGTTCCTTGTGGCTACAGAGCATCATTACTCCAAATACAAACCCACTTAACATTGTTCCCCTGAGTGTGAGAAGCTACAAGAATTTGACTTCTGATCTTCAGCTCAAATGAGATTTTGATTAGTCAATCCACTTCCAACCAGAGCCCAGCAAAGACTGCCCCAAAGGACAGGGACCTTGCAATTTTCTCTGTTGGTTGAGAGGGTTGTACACAGTTGTAAAGAAGAGTTGAGACAGACCAGAAAAGAGCAGAATAATAAAACTCACAAAACAGCTACTCAGTAAGTCACAGAATGCTAAGACAAATAGTGAAGTAAAGAAGAGCAGAAGTAGGGTCTTCAAATCTATCTAATGCCCATTTAGACAGCAACTGGATTAAATTAAACAATGCTCAAAGCCAGCATACAATAACTCCAATCTCTCACCTATTGCAGAAGGTGACTCAGATAATCTGGTAGAAAGTGAAAATGCTTCTGCTAGTTTTCATAATCTAGTACTAAGACCTGAAACCGAAGTCAAACTCAGATCCTCTACTTTTGTGTCTTTTATTTTCCAAGAAGAGATGACAGACAGCATCAGGTAACTTGCACGTATTTTCTTCTGTATAATGTACCAAGATAAAATAAGCAAATTCCTATATATTTCTTTAAATATATCAATCTTCTGTAGGAAAAATAATGAGTCATTGTCCCTTGAGTGATGCAGGAAAGACACCTCAATTATTGCTCGTAATTATGTTGCTGATGTTGTTTTGATTTCAGCAGTTGAATACTGAGAGTACTTCCTCTTACTCACAGATGTTCCCTGTGATCACAACCACTAGTTCCCTTGACTTTAGAAAAGAGGTATTTTGTCCATATAGTTCCTATATAGCACCCAACACTGTAGTATAAAAACCAGGAACTGTAAAAATAGCCAACAAAAAGTGTCATTGTCTATGACAAGAAACAGACTTCAAACAGGAAAGCCAGGAAAGCAAGTAGATCTCTTGCTGGAGCAAAATACACTAGTAAGAAAAAGAGGTCCTCGTTCATGGCAGACAGTTTTTTAAGAAGGCTATGAAAAATCCTGTTTATTTTCAGCAGAGCTTTCTAGGATAAGCCACCCTGAACTTGAAGAAAAAATGAATATAAAAAAATTTGCCTGTAGAGATGCAACATATCTAAGGGCAAATCTGACAAACTAGACTTACTTCCTTTAATACACAGCTTTGTTGAAGTTTGTTAAATGAAGGTTTCAAGCATCAGCTACTGAATCCCTACTTCACATCTGAGGGGTATGCTTTTCTGGTTAACCTATCTGAAACCCTTTTATGCGTTTGCCTTTTATCTTGGAAGTGATGACTCCAGTGCTGCATGTATCATACACTTCAAAAATAACATAAAAGCACATCAAAGAAGATTCAAGCTTGAGGAAAGAAAATGTTTGCTGTAACCTTATATGAAGTTGGGGTCCAAAATCTAAGAGTTTAATTTTTTAGGACTGGTTTCTCCCTCAAGGGGATACTGCAGAAAGGATTCCAGGCACCACACAGTTATCTGACAACTTTATCTGAAGAAGCTGGGTGGAACACAGTTCACAAAAATTAAGGTGGTAGTGCAGTAGCTCCACCAGCCCTTCTCCCGCCTACCACAAAAGGAACTGGACCCAGGTACCTCACCTCTCAGGTAGTGCACTATCCTGGCCGTTCAGGCAATCACTATTATGTCACACTATTTTAGTTTTTTATTAAAAACAAACAAACAACCCCCAACCAACAAAAAACAAAAAGGCAAAAACCAAACTACAAAAGTAAGTTAGATCAGTCAATCTAGAAAGCCATAACAGGAAGTTATGATAGCTAGGTTATATTCACAAAATTCCATCATTTACTACTGTAGATTTGCAGCTATTGGACAAATCTAGCACTATTTACAATCCATTCTGAAAATGACTCATTCAGTCCAGAGCTCTCAACTTGCAGAAAATTTGCTGCTTCTAAATAAAAGTAACAGCTAGTCTCTGAAACAGTGTTTTTTTTCAAAGTCTTGAATTTAGTAATAGTATACTAAGACACAGCAATCTCAATTCCATAAACAATTTCAGGCCTCTAAGATTACAAAGCAGGATTAGAACCACAGAAAGGAGGCAAGGGAAAATGAGAAGCCATTGACTAAAGTGACTCAAAATCAGCTCTATGTCATATTACTGTATGTGGCTATAAAGTTTTCTTATTATTACTTCATAAAATAGTACTTTTTCCAAAAACCCTTGTTATGTCCATGTAAATGCATTTGATATGTACAATTATAGATACACATATGAAAATAACTATAAGTTTTCATTCTATTTCTGAAATTATGTTAATCAACATATAATCATTATATATAATTTTAACAAACAACCAGGGTGAACTTTCATGCCAACCTGCTTATAATCTGGATATATGATCTTTCCGAGTTCAGGCTGTATTGTTGTAACTGTGATAAAGGAAAAAAGACAAAGAGAAAACAACAAAACTGGTTTTAACATCTAAAAAAATTTTATGTTACAAAACATTTAAACGTTGTAGGACTTTCTCATTATATTTAAACTAAACATATGCTCAGTAGCAAAAAATTAGAAAAAAGAATAGGGAAAGCATAAAACAAGAGAGAAAAAACAGACCACTCAAAAAACCACACCTTGTCTGTGTCTGCAGTTCTGTTACATCATCGCAAAAAGGGAACAGTGAAGCTAGAGAAGTCTCAGACACAAAAATTATTATCTGGACTACACAATAACTTCTAAACAGGGAAAAATAATGAAAAGCAAAGTGAGATAGGACTCTTCAAACTGAGAAAAAGGCTGTAGAGAATCAGGAGTAGTGCAAGAAGGTCAGTAAGAATTATCAGTACTTGCACCCTTGCTTTTTAATTAATGAAGATCAGACAACTAATCCTAATTTATCAATACAAAAACAATAAAAATTTTCTGTCCCTTTTTCGGTGGATAGATTCAAAATCTTCTCTGTTGCAAAAACAGGTGGCAGCTAATTCCAAAGCATACAAGATGTACATGCAAAGGAACTTGACGGTACATATTCAGTAGACTGAGGATATTATACACCACAGAGATGGTGCATCTCAGATGGAATAAAATGAGCTGAAATGAAAATAAATAGATCCTGCATTCACAGGTTGAAACACTATGAGAGTGTGACAGGGTTTGTACACTTGAAAACCTGAGGTGGTTAAAGGAACTAGACACTGAAACAGCAAGTATTTCTTTCAAGTATTTAATGTAATTAAAAATCAGGCAACATGTTCACCCCCTATTCTTTATTATAAACCTGCAGACCAAGTCAGAGAAAAGACTTCCTGCTTTCATGAAATATTACTGCTCTAACAATAAGACTATGAACTTACATGCATAACTTGCAATCTCAGGTTTGGCATGAGAAATCTTGCTTAACAAGGATGATTTTCCTGCATTTGGAAACCTAGAAAGGAAGTTGGAATTTATACACTGAATAAACACTTAAGTGATTCCTGCATACTTTATTTCCAAATGCACTATATTATCTTATTGAAACTCAATGCTATCAGCTCATTTTGCATTCATTTACTACCCAGATTTTTTTGAAATCAAATCAGAATAATTTTTCTAAATCCAACAATACTTCCCAAGAACACAGGCAGGTGAGTTATGTAAATACACGTGTAGTGGATTTAAGGTAAATCTTTCAAAGTCACTTGGACAGAAATACAGCATGACCGTCCGTCCAGGTCTACTTGAATTCAACCTTCATGTGCTATAACTAATTTTGTAAATTACAGTTACATTCTAAAACCTGTAATGCAAGAACATCTTATCAGTTGGACTTATTTTGGCATACCAATCATGGTTCATGAAATCCTACAATTTAAGTACCAATGATATCTATGCTACAGTTTAGCTAATATAGCAAAGCAAACCAACTCTTTGAGAGAGAGAGGGACTTTGTGTATAGAGACACACACATGCGAAGTTTGTGTATGCTTTTAGGGCATCAAAGTTGTAAGAGGGATCCTGAAATTAGCACTAACCTGCTTTGTTACCAGGCAAACTAAAAAGAGCACCAGTGAAGATTTTGGAGCTGGTCTGTGCAGACCTGACTGTTGTTTACAAGGCACAGTTATACCTGCACATCACAACAAAAATGTTCCTTTAGGGATACGCTACCTTTTATAAAAGCTTCTTCACAGAAAACTGAAATAGTAACCCATGTTAAAACTGAAATTTTCAGTAGCACACACTTGTTTTAAAGATTAAACTGAGCTCTAAAAGACACAACAGCCTCGATCTATGTCAAACTTGAAGTTAATGCTGACATTAAAGGATAGACCATAGTCCTTATTCTTCGCACCTCCTCCAGAAAGATGACACATAGAATCATAGAATCATAGAATAGATTGGGTTGGAAAAGACCTCCAAGATCATCAAGTCCAACCCCTGATCCAACTCTAATTACTATATCATGGCACTAAGGGCCATGTCCAATCTCTTTTTAAAAACTTCCAGGGATGGTGAACCCACCACCTCTCTGGGCAGGCCGTTCCAATGCCTGATCACCCTCTCTGTAAAGAATTTCTTCCTAACATCTAACCTAAACTTCCCCTGGCAGAGCTTGAGCCCATGTCCCCTTGTCCTGTTGTTGGTTGCCTGGGAGAAGAGACCAACCCCCACCTGGCTATAACTTCCCTTCAGGTAGTTGAAGAGAGTGATGAGGTCACCTCTAAGCCTTCTCTTCTCTAGACTAAACAACCCCAGCTCCCTCAGCCTCTCCTCATAGGACTTGTGCTCAAGTCCCTTCACCAGCCTGGTTGCTCTTCTCTGGACCCGCTCCAGCACCTCAATATCCTTCCTGAACTGAGGGGCCCAGAGCTGAACACAATACTCAAGGTGTGGCCTCACCAACGCAGAGTACAGGGGAAGGATCACTTCCCTGCTCCTGCTGGCCACACTGTTCTTGATGCAGGCCAGGATGCCATTGGCCTTCTTGGCCACCTGGGCACACTGCTGGCTCATGTTCAGCTTCCTGTCAATCAGCACCCCCAGGTCCCTTTCCACCTGGCTGCTCTCCAGCCACTCTGTGCCCAGCCTGTAGCGCTGCACATGACTTGTGTTCCAGTCAAATTCACAGACAGATGTTCATCACAGTATTTCAGTGGAACAGTGATCAAAGAACACTGTGTCTACAGGCAACTGAACGCTGGTCACAAGACACAAAGGCATGTGTCCCCCAGAAAACCATATAGTCTCCACTTGAATATGCAGAACCATGTCCTGTTAACAAAATTGGTTTACATTAAGGGCCTTTACAAAGGGGATGTACTCAAATCTCTCTTAAAAAAAGAAAGCAACCTAATGACTCCTGTTATAACATGGAAACTATTGAGGGTAGTTTTAATGCACTCTGATGATGGAAGGTGCTTAAAAGACATTCCGGAGGGTTATTCTGGTCATCTCCTTGAGTGAACATTTTGGTTCCACTGAGGTGCAGTATGTTCTTTGAAATTTAAATTGCAACCTAGTCTAACACATCACAACCTGTACTCAAACCTGATGGGGCTCTCTCGAGTCTATGTGTTGTTTTTACCTGATCTAACAGCAAACCACTTGCGAAAAAGTAAAAGTAACAAACACAAAGAGATCAAAGTACAGCCACAAACTATCAGAGGCTGATTTCATATTCTCAGCAAGAAAATTATATGTTTCTCTAATTGACTGATAATGATTTTTTTAATCCATTTTCAAATGAAACTGTCAGCTAAAATACAAGCCAAAATGCAAGATTAAGGCAGTATCAGTGTCACAGAACTCCTGTACTGTCACACACTCTAAACCAAGAAAAAAATTCGGTAATTACTGAAGACTAAAAATTATATAACTTTAGATAACTTTTATATTAATTAACTGAATATATTTTATATAATAATTTAAATATATAAATATTTTATATAAATTAACCGAATTATTTCTAATAAGAAAAAAGAGAAAAACATAGCTAGAAAATCATGCTATCTTCAAGCATCTTTCCATTCTTTACTGGTATATACCAATCAGACTACTTCCACTCAAACTCCTTGTTATTTCATGTTTCATCTGGTTTTTATTGATAAGGACCATGGAGCTGACCTATGTGTAGCAGATGCTGAGTAGACCAACACTTTTACAACTGTAGTTTGTTGACAGCTTTCTCCAAATAAAAATAAATTTATCTGTGTTGCTATAAAGAGCAACATTGAAAAGTAGGTCCTACTGTTCTACTTTGTAACTAGATGTAACTAGTTTGTTACTGTTTGTAATTACTGTCTTCCTACATTCCAAGCTGTTTATTGGGGAGAGTAGGCAACACAGCCTTCGGAACTCTCTTTAAAAACTACTGCTGAAAGGATTCACTTGTGCCAGTACCATGAAGTCAAGCATGCAATACAGATAGTGCTCTTGGCTCTGTTTTGCACCTCCTACTTACTTCATAAACATTAGCTAATAGTATTTTGATAATCACTGCAATTGCTAAATGCAATTGTATTACTAATTATATATTACTCCGATTCATGAAGCTCTTCGCCCACAAAAGCATAACCAATATTTTACAAATTTTAAAATTACTTCAATCTGATTTTTGCAAACTGCAAATAATTTAAGTGACAATGCAAATGTACAATAACATTCATCCTCCAAATTCTCAAATTTCTTTGAAATCACATTTGAAGTTTACTCTGTTTTCTAATATTAAACTACAGTACTTACCCAACTAAACCAACATCTGCTATAAGTTTCAAATCAAGATGAATAATTCGCTTCTGACCTTTGCAAGGCAAAAAGTTTGTGGCCAAAGAGCCTCCAAGACCTCCACGGGCTGCTAAGAATCTCTCTCCTGCTGCATTTAGTTCTCCTGAAAATAAATTCAGTAGTGAAAAAACACAATCCCCTGCAGTAGTTTAGTTGTGATTTTCCCCTTAAATGTCTCTGATTACATGAAAATTTTCTGTATGCTTCCTTGCAAGATTTGTGCCCTCAAGGTCATGGTGTTTCTTCCTCTTTGGAAACAAATGAAAGCTATCACACCCCAGCATTCCCCTCTGTTATGCAGTTCATCACCTCAAGAAAAGTGCTAAGCACAGGCAGGCAAAGTATGGCCAAGTTGGTGATGGTGGGTGTGAAGCCTCCAATATTTGAATTCAAGAATACCATGAAAAATCTACATTGATAGAGTTGTGGCTACACAATGTCTGAAGAGTTTGCTGCATTTTTTCATTAAGATGCAGGCTAAGGTATCTCCCTTAGGGTCAGAATAATAAAAAAAAAAAGGCAACATTTGGATACCTTTAGACACTGACATGCCTTCATCATAAACAATTCTTGCCACATACCTTTACTTAAACATCCAAATGTAGTTTGAATTCTAAACAGTATGAGAAGAAAAACTCTGAAAAATGGCAAAGGAACCACCTATTTCAAGAACACTGTGCTGAAAGAGATCTTCCTGGTTACTACTGAGCACCATTCTTTAAAACAAAGAGTAAAAAACAGTTACCTGTTTTAAGTAACCTGAAATGTTGACATTTAGCAAGGATCTTTGTCTGCTAGGCATTGTCATAATTCAGTAAAGTTACAGGGACACTTACCTGGGTTTATGGGGACATAATTTTTGTGAGATCATGAATGCATCTGTGGGGGATCACGATGGCTCCCAGACTTTAACACTTCTTTGCAAAGTAACTTTCTTTCTGTGGCATTTAGTGACACAAACTAACTACTGCTAATTTCTGGAAGAGGTCCTTGCTTTTCCAAAAATTTCTACAGTGTATTTGTTTGTCAACTCTTTGTCCAAACAAAGAAAAACACAGACCTATTTTGAGGAATGTTTAGCGTTAAAACATCATTGTGTTAGAAATCTGCTAATGTTATTAATAAATGTGACAAATACTAGATACATTAAAATAAAGCAAATGTTCTTACCAATCTGTTTGCCACCATCAAGAAGAAGTGAAATTCCAGGAGGCACGTGAACTTCACAATCTTTTCCTTTTTCACCTTTTAGAGCTTTAACACTGGGAAAAATTAAACCGGACTTAGTAACTTAAGCTGAAATTCTGCCTTCTGGAAAAGTCGTGTGTAACAGCTTTTATCAACCTGACTCTTACCTGCTGTTGGCTCCTGTTCCAGCTACAAATCGCTTGTGAGGATATTTCTCCTTAATGCCCTTTAAGGTGATTCTTTCTCTGGCGACAAACCAGACATCACCACCTTTTCCTCCTTCCCCTCCCAGACGAGGGTAACCCATTCCACCAGTTCCTCCTCTCACATAGACCCGCAAATCGTCTATGAAGCTGCCATACTAACAAAACAAGTTTCAATATCAGTATTATGTTCTGTTCAGATTTTGCTTTACAAAAATGTGTGTAAAACGGCTTAGATAGAACTCTAATGGCAACAAACGACAGTCCACAAAGCAGGCGCGTAAAAATCCAAAATATTTTTCAGTGAGTGTTTGACATTATCTCCCCCGGCAGCGACACTCTCGGCCCGCAGGGCCCCGGGCAGCGGGGCGGGGCGGGCGAGTCCCCGAGCCCCGGACACGCGTGGGGCATCACCGCGGGCATCACGACCCGGTCCCGGCCACGCCGGCCCCTTCGAGGCGCCCCGGCAGCGCGGCAGGATCCTGCCGGAGCCAAGCGCCGGGGCCTGAGCCGGTCCGGGGCACGGGAACTCCCGCAGGGGCCCCGGGAGCGGGACCAGCCCTCGCCGCCCGGGCCACGCCGGCGGCACCGCCCGCCCGTGTCTCAGGCCGGCCGCACTGACCTTCCGCAGCACCGCCGCGCCGCACCGCACCATGGCGGGAGGAGCCCGGGCCCGCGAGCTGCGGGAACAGGAAGGGCCGCAGGGAGGTAGAGCGAGTGCTCCCGGAGCTGCCGGAGCTGCCGCCCGAAGAGCTCAGAGCCGGCCCCGCTCCCGCTCCCGCCCCGCGGTGCGCAGGCGCGGCCTGGCCCAGCCGTTCCCCCGCCTCAGAGCTGGCCCGGCCCGGGGGAGCTCCGGGCGGCGGGACCGAGCTGGGACTGCACAGCCTAAACACGCTCATAGGCTTTGCACTCTGTTCCTATTACTGACCCACTTTTTCTACCGCTCCATGTTATTTTTAACAATCAACTACATACTCTGTTCCAGCTCAAAACGCTTTTAATTTCTGCCCATTGGACATGCTTGCATCCTGCTGTTTTGGAATGCTTAGAGCAGAAAATCTTTCAGTGATATAAATAGAAGAGCAGGAGACGATGTGGCTGTTGTCTAGCCTAAGTCAAGTCCCCCAAATTCCATGTGAGCCTTTCCTCAGTGCCAAAGCAGCTTCACCCCAAGGTGCATGGCAAGATGGATCATGTGAATGGCAGAAAAGAATTTATTACAGCAGAAAAAAAAAGCGCAAAACACTTGTCGTGCTTTCAGATCATGGGGACTTCATTTGCAGTTCTGAAACAGGTATTATGAAAAACCCAGCAGCAGGTATTTTGAACTGATATGTTAAAGAGTCTTATGATTTGAAAAAAGCAAACATGGGTCTGGCCTTGTCCTTGAGGCATTCAACTGAGAGGTCCCAGCTGAGGGCTTGTTGGCTTACACTCCTGTATGTGCTGGTGACTGCGGTCTCCAGAGGACAAGCTACATCATGAATGGCTGCCTGTGAATGCCCATCTCTCTCTGTTAAGCCTTTGAAGTGACATGGGCTGAACTTGGACTGTAATTGCTTATCTTTGAAAAGAAGAAAAGTGACCTGGCCAACCACAGACCCTAATACCTTGTCTCAATCTCATCGCAAAGCTTTAGAAAAACTCACATTTGCTATATTAGTACTCTAAAACATTTGATACAGTATCACCTGAGAAGGAATTAGAATATGGGGTTTAGGAAAGAAATTGTGAAGTGAGATAGCCACAAATAAAGTTGAAAAGGAAAATGTAAGGCTTAAAGGGTTTGTTATAGGATATCTTATTTGATAGTTTTTATAGTCCTGATAAAATCAGGAAGTGCATACTCATGAAATCTCAACATGAGAGATGCTTAGGAATCATCCTAAGTACAGAAATGTGCTGATTTGGCTGCAATAGAGTTAATTTTCTTCACAGTGGCTAAGATGGGACTGTGTTTTGGATTCACGCTGAAAACAGTGTTGATAATTCAGAGATGTTTTAGCAATTACGGAGCAGTGCTTACACATAGCCAAGGCCTTTTCTTCTGCTCCTCACCCCACCCAGCAGAGTGGGTTGGGGGTGCACAAGCAGCTGGGAGGGGACACAGCCGGGACAGTTGACTCCAGCTGACCAAAGGGATATCTCATACTATGTGGCATCATGATCAGTAATAAAAGCTGGGGAAGAAGGAAGGGGTGGGAACATTTGGAGTGATTGTGTTTGTCTTCACAAGTAACTGTTATGAGTGACTGGTCCCTGCTTTCCTGGAGATAGCTGAACACCTGCCTACCCATGGGAAGTGATGAACGAATTCCTTGTTTTGCTTTGCTTGTGTGCATGGCTTTTACTTTCTCTATTAAACTGTCTTTATCTCAACCCAAAAGTTTTCTGACTTTTACCCTTCTGATTCTCTCCTCCATCCTGCTGGTAGGGGAGTGAGGGAGTGGCTGCGTGGTACTTAGTTGCTGGCTGGGATTAAACCATGACAAGGGATTATTTCAGGAGATGTATTTTGTTTAAAGTAGGGGGGTATTAATGTCATTTTTTTAAGGTCCTGATGAAATCTCATTTGGGGTACTGTGAAAATGTCTAATCAATCGTTCTATAGCTGAGCTAAGGTTGAAGTGAAAGAGAGACAGAGGAAAATTAGGTGCATCACCAGAGAGCTTGAGAGCCTTTCATAAGAACACATTTTAGGATGGCTCAGCTTGTTTACTTCAATAAAACAAAACCAAAGAGGAGACACAAGTGTTGTCTATAAATATATCAGGAAGGTAAACATGAAGGATGAAAACCATTTAATTTTCAGGGCAAAAACATAAGAACAAACAGATTTGTACTATTCAGTAATAAATATATCAGGAAACTAGAACAGTGTTTCTAGTCGTTACTGCAATCGAATTATGAAACAGCTTTTTCATGGAATTAATGGGAGCAAAAATATACCTGTTTTTAATATGGCCCTTCATGAATGTACAAGGTGATTGTACAAAAGAGCTTTCTGTACTGGCAGGGAACTAGGCCCTGTCATTCAGGAGGACCTTCCTGTTCTGTGTTACCATGCCAATTCATAGTACAAACAACAGAACATTTTGTCCAGATTTATGATTCATAGTACGGAAGGAGTTTTCAGTCAAACTGAATGGTAGGCAAGGTTCAGAAGTCTTTACATATGCAAAAGTTAGGCTGACCTACTGTGACTTGGGTAAAGCATATGATGTCAGCATTCTGTAGAAAAGAACAGAAAAAAAGGAGATAAGCAAAAGAACATTTAAGTCAGATGAAGAAAGTGCAGGGAAGCTGCAGATGGCAAGTTTATCAGCAAAATTCTTCAAGAGTAAACTCATAGCCCCAGAGCTCTTCTTGGATACCAATACAAGTATATAGGAAATTATCCCTTGTTTTCATGCTTTGTTCTGCTTTTGTGGTACATACTCTCAGAATTTAGACCTCTGAATGTGGAATCATTAAAACTGTACAGAGCAGGTCGGTAGCTGGTCCACTTTAGCAGAGCCTTAAAATCAGTGTGCTGAACTTCCCTAATACACAGCATGAGGCTAACCGCTTAACTGGCCCAGAGATGCCAGCAGAGCTACTCACCAATGTTAGTTCAACTTATGTAATCAATCCACGACTCATCCTCAAAAAGGAGAAATAAAGAAAAGCTGTATGCTATGAGTTGAAGGTGTTAAATTTATTGATATAATACTAGATTTGTTTCAACACAGAGCAAGCTCATACCAACAAGCTCATACCATCAGGGAATTAAGTAATATTTAATTTGAAATGTGCTACTGTGCATTTTCTGAAACCTTTTATACCATTAAGTGCCTCATCACACATACATGATGTTAAGAATTACTGAAATGGAATAATATAAAACTCTGAAGTCTGAGGATATTTAGACGTTTCATTGTCTAAATACTTTGCCTCAGAAATGCATCTGGTCCTCCGAGGAGACTCTCTCTTATGCCAGGGCAGCACTGATTCTATCACTAGTGTGTGTATCATACTTGATCTTCAGCAGCAGGGCTGTGAGCACTTCACTGTCAAACCTGGTGGCAGAACATCACTGTTATTTCTTTGCTTCAGAAGCTGCTAATCAGTGATGCAGAGGGTGACTCAATTCTTTATTTTCAGTGAATCAATCTTTTTTACCTATGAGTGTGCCTGTGTCACAGAGATATCTATAATTCAGTCACACAAAAGGCTGATAGCATTTTAAAGGTCCCCAAAAGGGTTTATACATAGTCAATGTGTATTCTGAGTTCCATGCTAAATAATGCTTCAGTTCCTGCTTTTTCTGTTCTTACAGTGTACTTCACATACTTGTATATGGTTGCTTGAAAATCACAAGGGTACAACTACATCAAATCACAGTTTTACCACTCTGTTTCTTTTCTCTCATGATATAAATCACTAGGTAGAGTGCTGTCATCAACTCTAACAGGAGGAAGCCATAAAATCTCTTTCCCCAACAATTTTGAAACTTCCACCAGCAGTTTTTTGCAATTTTTGCTATATGTGCTATTCTTCTCAGTCTAGAAAAGAACTAACTTCAATGGAAATATGTGGAAATTAAGCTGAAATTTTTAGCAACACAGCTTTTTTTAAAGTACAGTTGAAATAATTAAAAAATGCAAGTCAGGTATTCATGTCCTTGCCTTTCTGAACATGCACAGCATGGTTCATTGCAATGCTGGGAAGCTGGCATAAAAGTCTTTGTAACTGAGAGAAATAACTATGCCAACATACCCAAGGTCCAAATGTTCTAAAACAATTTTAAAGTTTTATTAAAAAAGATAAGGAGATCTAACCAATGCCAAGGATACACTCTTCAGTACAATAAAGTCCCACTAGATGGAGGCAACTCAGCTGCAATAATGAAAGGACTAAGCTGAAGTACAATAGTTTAAAATACATGCTATAGAAAAGCTATCAATGTTGGCAGAATTGTGAGGGATACATTTTATCTTGCCTAAGTTTGTCTATTCTAAAATATTAAAAATCAAAGAAATAGTCACTTTTACTATGAGCCATGAGCCATATGAGCCATCTCATAAAACTTAGCTGTGCTGTAGGTTTACATGTGGCATATGCTGCGTCTTTGGAATTCTTCCTGAACCCCTGCAGATGAAGAACACAACACAATTTTTCTCTAAATCCCCTTTATATTTAGTCACTAGCTCAAAAAAAAAAACAACCAACCAACAAACAAAACAACAAAACAAAAAAAACAAACACACAAAAAAACAAACACAAAGAAAAACAAAAAACACAAACAAACAAAAACAAAAAATTAAATCTGCTTTCCCAAGTCCTTGGACAGGGTCCCTGGTTTTAAGGGATTTTCCCTTCAGCCCAAGTTTTTATGTAGCTTTCAGGTACATTAGATTTTACAAAGGTGGTCACAGATTGACTTTCCTTGACCTTTCTTGTTCTGAAATAGAAATTGTAATAACAATACTTACTTAATAAACATGATCAGTGTCTGTCTTTGTGGTGCTTTTGTCCTACAAACTTCACATAACATTCCACAGGATTATTAGTTGCCAATAACTTTGATCTCTGTTAACCTAAATTCATGGGTTCATCCTTGTTCCAGGTGGCATTCTCCCACAGATGATGATCCCTCAGTGCTTGACTGACAAGATGCATAACACCAGAAGGGAAAATGAAATATGAAAGTCAGCCTTTAGAACCATTTTCACATTTTTTAGATATTATCAAAGAATTTTAACATAGATTCTTAAGAGAACATTGTTTATGAAGTGGCATTTTAAAAAGAGATCTTTTTATTCAAAAGGATTTTCCTAAGAAAAATCTGCTCCTTAGCATTTTGATTTCTGTAATTGTGTTCTAGGAATACCTTGTTTTAAGATTAAAAATGGTGGATTTATTAACTAAATTAGGAAAAGCAAGAGGAGAATGATAAAAATAAGCTTGTAAGATGAAGAAATGTGATTGAAGGCTGCCATCAGTGGCTGTTGGAGTAAAATGAAATCACTGCGTTTGCCCCACTATCCTGTGCTACTACTCCTAGATGTTTTAAGTGGGAATGAAATGAGAAGAAGGAATTGATGCCCTGGCCAAGCAGCTGTGCGACTGTCCACTTCTTGACATGTCTTTGAATGCCTTAGAAATTTTGGCTGTTTCCCTGTGAGATTGATCACACTAAAGAATTTGATAGTGCATAAAGCAAACTAAAAGGGAAAAGCTTTTCTTAATGTGAAAACTTATTGTTACTTTTTATTAGTGATACGAAGGAGCTTTCTTAAAGGTAGTTTCTTTCTACAGCCTTCCTAATACTTTAACCTCTTTGGTTATGGAAGCTGCCTTAGAATTTCAAGGATTAATTACATCTAATAGCACTTTAGCTCCTTTCAATTATACAAAGAGTTCAGAGAAAAACTAACTGCATTCCAGTCTTCCAGATATTTATGTCTATATGAATGTGTAGGTTCAAACACGTCTTACTTTTTGAAGCAAGATTTTGAAATAGTGTTGCCATTGCTGGGCTGCAAAGACTTCCAGAAGATACCTAGTTATTCTGTCATTTTAGAGCAGATTTATATTTGTGGTTTAAGTACTGTATATAGTGGGTTTTAGATAGTAATCACTATATTTCCACTTGAAATAACAGACTGTTCCTATCCTGTTGAAGTCCACCAAAGCATATTATGAACCCTTACAGACCAAATTTTACTACATATTTGTTCTTTTCCATTACTTTGAACACTGTTCCTACATGTTCTGGTGGGCAAACAGGAACATGGATGGAAACCTAGGTTTTTGAAATGGGAGTTCATTAAATGAGTGTTCATGTTACTGATTCAGAGAAAGATTTGCTGTCCATTATGTTTTCCTCCTTCTGACAGCCCTCTGCCTCTCCCCCTCCCTCCCACACACCCCCACAAAGGCTGTCTCTCCAGGTGCGGCCCCAGTCCAGCCTGGGCTGACACTGGTGACTGCTGCAGAAAGAGGTGGGGCTGCCACAGCCACAGCTCCCTTCACCCTTCCACCGACCTGAGTTCAGCTGTTGCTGCTGCTGCTTTGCCAGTGGCAGAGTCATCCCTGTGCAGAGTAATCCCGGCATCCTTGGAGCATCCAGCAGCTGCCAGGCACTTGCAGCCCTCTCATGAATTTCTTTCTTTTTCTCCAAGTGGCTGATTTCTGATGCTTCAAGGCTACTGCTTTCCATCTCCTCACAGAAACACTGTAAGTACAACTTCTGCTGTGTCTTCTCAATTATTGCCTCTGTGAAATTCATCTGTCTTGTACTGAATAGTAGGAGTTATTAGTTAAAAGAGGTCTGTTGTGGTCTCTGCTCCTGTTTGAGGTATTCAAATGGACCATTATCATTTTAGTTTTTAGCTGGATCAAAACATGAAATCAAAACAACTCAAAATGTTGGTGGTTTCCTGATTGCCTTTTTCCTACGTTGTAGCTAAACTGAGAGTGTATCCTTTCTCTGAAGGCTGGTGCCTAGTGAAGTGGAAGTGAGAAGAGAAGCATTTCCATCCCTACTTATTTGCTGGAACAAGTTTTGTAAAGCCCAAGGAAGAGAAACTTTATTGCATATTGATAAACTCTTGGGATGCTGAAGCAGGTAATCCTGCTGCCTTCTGGAATGCAGCTGGCCAAGGGTGTTTTACAAAGGAGCTAGGCTGGGGGAGTATCTGTTTGTCTCAGTTCCTTGGGTTCTGAAGCTGAGGTAAAGGAATACATGACTTTAGGGACCTCAGATGGCTGCAGCAGTGTGATTACACATTCAAACTAAAAATCACCCCAGGACCCGGAGGCCACAGCAAAAGGGCCCATTTCTAGCTGTCCTGTTTCCTGAGCTGGTTTGGTATGACCTGAACTCCATGGTGTTGCCTCCACTCTGTATTCTTACAGACATTTCACATAAATGTTGTATTATCTGTGGATTGGCCTCTCTTTAATTGCATCACTAGGAATTGCAGAAAGGACATCAGTATGTTAACACTCTGAAGACATCACAGACTAACTTTTCATATTGACAGTGCCAGAGATATTCAGAGTGGGAGAGCACACTTGCAGTTCTGGCCAAGTTCCCACTAAAATTTGCACAGTTGCTGAAAATGTTGCCTTTTATCTGCACAAAACTTCACATAATTCTGTAATTGTATTTTACACTCTGAATTGGAAACTGTGGGGGTGAGTATGGCACCAACTACTTGACAAAGAATTGATTTAGGACACCAATATAAGGGGCACTATCTGAGAGCCTTGACTGTCTTTTCAGACTTCTTATGCTCATTTGGGCATTTTTTGGCTTTGTTTTTTTTGTTTGTTTTAGTCTGCTGTTCCACTGTACTTTATCCCGATAGGAAGGATTGATAAAAAAAATAAATTATCAGGTGTTTTAGTGATCTTCTGTCTATACTTGCTTCAAGGATATGGAATATACATCATAGGAAAACTGCATTTTCCCAGAGGGAATCCATGTGTAATAACGTATACATATTCTGTAGCATTTGAAATTCTCATTATGCCTCCTGAATGATTGCTCATTCCATCTCCATTTCTCCAGATGGTTTCTGTGTTTTGAATATATGGTAGAAATAATTGTGCCAAAAGTTTACTTAATTTTCTAACATAAGTCAGAAAGGAATTTGCCTTTTTCCAGTCTTGCAACACTTGCTAAATGAGTTCAGAACCTGTCTATGCTCACACAATTTACCATCTCTCTGAGTTGAGCTTTTCCATGAAAGACTGGCTATTTATGGCTCTGTTACTTGTTTGATAGCATACCACTAGGATTCTTTAAACATCTGCTGTTAACCTGATTTTACTCATGATCCAAGTGCAAGCGTTTAAGGGAAGAAGTCTTGGTCCCAAGGAGCCTTTCTGACACAGGGTCTGGTCACTTCAAACTTTCTGCTTCAGGGTCTCATGTTCTAAACAGCATTAAAGATTTCCAACCTAGCTTCAGCATCAGGGTTCATTGACTGATATTTATTCCGTGGTTTGAAAAAAAAAATGTATTTTTCTGTATATATGCATGGATAATCTCTTGGGGTTCCCTTGAAAATGATGTGAGAATGAACTACATAATGGTAGAATGACTGTGATTTTATATGTTTCATTTCAGGTATCTTGTTGAAGTATGGAATTTGTATGGAAACGAAGGTGGTATCTTCAGCTGGGCTGTATATTGATAGTGAATTTGGTTTATGCCAATCTGGACTATCAAAAAGAAACTCCGCCAAGCCTGGGTGAGATTGACCATCAGTGCTGGGAGCTATCCTCCCATGGGTTGGTGGAGATGAAGAAACTCAAGGTAGCAGATACAGTCATTGCTCTGTGGGACTTCATGATGTTCCTAAAGGAATCTCCTAACCTCAAGCACAATGAACTCTTCAATGATTTAGCCCAGAACTTCTGGGATATGTACATAGACTGTGTGGTCTCAAGATCCCATGGAATGGGCAGAAGGCAGTTAACATCTCCCAGATATTCTTCCACATACTCACACAGAACTTTAGAAGGTAATTATAGGATATGGTGTTAGTCTGTTATGTACTAACATTAAAATGAACCACTGCTCTAACCTCGTCCTTGATTGTTTAGACAACTCAATATAGTAATTTCCAGTTTTCTATCTCTACTTGTCAGAAGTGTTTGCATCTTTCAATGGTAGCTACTTTGACAATACATTAGTCACTAGTCGTTAGGGTACTACATTTCTATCTTTAACAAAGAGTAAAAGATGTTGGGTATGCACGTGGGAGTGTGTGGAAATGGATGCTGAATTCTTTGTTTATCACTGTGTTCATATCAATGGTAATACATTAATACAATAGTTACAATGCTATTCCTGGTATTCAGACTTTAGTCTCAGCTTTGAGGAATCATCCCTCTGTGAGAAGAGAAGACCAAATCCCAGACAGTTTGAACCCTATTCTTCCTGTTAAAACTACTGGCACATAATGTGAACTAATGGCCACTGTGAATCACTAAACAGTGACAGATTCTGGTCATCACTGTCTGGGGTGAGTCTGAACTAAGATCATGTACTGGCTTTACATCTTACTGACCAGTCCTAGGTTTGTTGTTTCCCCTCCTCCCCAGCAATAGACGTCTTTTTCTGATGTATCCAGTCAGACAGTTTAGGTTTTCAGACTGAACATGGAGATGATTTAATCCTAGCATTCCTAACATATTGCTTGGACAATAACTACCTTTCTTTCATAATCTTGCAGGGTCTGCTTTCACCAACCGATTTTAGGCCGAAAGGGGAGAAAATTAAGATACCTCAGCAAGGCAACATCAAAATGAAGGAGTGTTGGGGTGCTTAACTAATAAAAAGCAGCATGAACAAACCATACTAATAGGCCTCAGTCTGTCTTAGCAAGAGGCCTGCTTGCAGGTAGTGGGAAAAGTACTGGCATTGATATCAGGCTGCAAGAATGTAAACTGTTGAGATAATAAGGAGGAGTTTTTGGAGAAAGACAATGTTTTCATGTCACGTGCACAGCGGCCAGTACCCAATGATAAGGGGGTTAGAGATACATGCTTGCCTCGTGATTTACAACATTTAACCAATGGTTTGAAGGTGTTCACGCGCTGCAGGGCTCTGAGGGTATTTAAGAGCCTAGGTTATGTAAATAAAGTGGAACATCTGCTTAAACCATTACTGGTTTGCGTGCGTTTGTTCTCCGTGAGCTCCTCCGCCAAGAGGTGGCGCCCGAACGTGGGGTCTGGGTTCGCCGTTCTTCGGGACGTGACACCGCCGACAGGAGAGGTCCAAGGCCAGCCGAAATTTGAGTGGCGTTTGCCCCGGCGCCAAGAGTTTTAAAAGGTGCGTGCACGGCTGTTTTGGAATCTCGCCCTGATCAGGTGAGCGGCTGGAGGGACGAGAATGGGGACGGCAGCATCCAAAGAGGAAGAGGCTGCCGAAAAGCTCCTCCACTTTATGCTTTCTAAGAAAGACTTTTCAGTCGATGTTAATGCTCTTAGAGGGCTGCTCGAATGGGCCAAGGAAACAGGCTTAATCCCCACAGTGGCAGATGCATTTAACGTGTCCGTATGGGACAATATTGGCCAGAAGCTGTGGGAGGAGACCTCAAAAGGGTCTAAGGAAACAAGAAAGTTCCCCACTTTGTGGCGTACAGTCAGGGAGTCGCTGCAAGACTTAAAGACTGAATGCCAGGTTGCGGCGTTTGCCTTCGCAGCGCTGGCGGGGACTGACGAGCTATCTTCTAAATCCTCGGTGGAACAACTTACATTCGGGACAGCGGTAGCACCCTCAGGACCTAGGGCGCGGACCCCGGAGGCACAGAGACCGGCGGCTGCGGCTCTGGCTGGCGGAGAGCCCACATCAGCTGCGCTCGCCGCGGGGGCTGTGCCGGCTCCGCCAGCCGCGCCTGCGCAAACCGCACTACCGCTTGTTCGACCTGCGCCTGCGCCTGCGACGACGGCAGCGCAGATAACGCGGAAGGAGAGAGGAGCATCCGTGGATCATCGCGACACACGACATTCACATCCTGCGCCTTCTTCCTCTGCATCCTCATCGAGCAGTGAGGACTCGGATAATGAGAGCAAGAAACCAGTCACTGCTCTAATGTCCTCCCAGATGAATGAGTTGTTACAGCGTATACAGAAACTAGAAACTCAGTTATCGGAACAGCATCTCGCCTCGCAGAATGCAGCTGCTTCTAATGCCCCACCCCTGCCACGGATGGGGGCACCTCTCCCCCTTATTCCCTTCCCAGACCTTCCTGGGGCGGGGAATTCTTTCGGAGATTGTTCGGTTTTACCGGGGGAGGGAGTGGGGGGAAGGGGGGGAGCGGTTAATCCTGTGCAAAGGTGGAAAAAGATATTGAGAGAAGCAGTTATAGAGGGAGACCTGTCGCCTCTGGAAATCAGTGCTTACCATGCATTGGTGGACGGGGCGGGTAGCAGATCATGGGAAGCTTTAGATTGGAAGATCGTAAAAAAAGCAAAAACAGCAGTTGCTCAATATGGTTTAAGGTCGGGGTATACACAGACGGTTATACAATACCTTTTCACTGCCAGTTTACTAACACCGTATGATATTCGAATGTTGGTAAACACGCTGCTTTCTCCATCACAACAGCTGCAATTTTTTAGTAAGTGGCAATCTAGTTGCTATATGGCTGCTGCTACACCAAGGCAACAGGGAGATCCACTGTATGGTGTGACATCTCAGATGCTCTTAGGAACAGGCCCATTTGCTAGAACGGATTGGCAAGCACAATTTGTCAGTGAGGTGCTGCAGCTGAGCCAAGATTTGGCTTACAAATCGTTGCTAGCAGTAAAGGATGAAAAATCAAGCCCTTCATATACCTTGATTAAACAAGGTCCTGCAGAACCATATGGTGAATTTATTGATCGCCTGTGTCAAGCCTTAATGGCAGACCCTGATATGGATGATAACATGAAACTAAAATTTCTAGACACGTTAGCCTTTCATAATGCAAATGACAAAACAAAACGAGTTCTAAGCACATTGCCTAGAAGTTCATCCACAGCCCAATTTCTCGAGGCAGCTGAAAGGATGATTGAACAGGAGAAAGCAGCCCCTGTAGCTACTGCAGTGGGGGCAGTTGTCAAGCTCTTGGTATCTGAAAAGGGGAAAAGTCGTATGGGAAAAAGAGAAATGAAATGCTTCAATTGTGGTCAGAAGGGGCATATTAGATCTCAATGCCAGGCATTGCCTTTACAAGAGGCTGCCCGGTCCCCAAAGTGGTGCGAGTACTGTCAAAAAAATAGTCATAATACCAATGAGTGCAGAAGAAAGGGAAACCGCAAACAGAGCGTGCAGCACTCCCGCGCCACGACAGCAAATCGGGGTGCTTGGGTAGCTGCACCGCAGCCACAGCAGGAAGTGCAGGAGTGGACGTGGCAACAGCAGTAGATACCATAATCGAAACCCAGAAAGTACACCTGATTGACTCTACTTTACAGGGAGAGGGTTGAGTGCACTCTTGTTAGGACGCTCTTCATTGTCTCGTCAGGGAATTTATGTAGTGCCAGGAGTGATAGATGCTGATTTTACAGGCACTATCAAAATAATGGTATATACTTTGACCCCACCTGTTTATATTCCTGCTAATAGTAAAATAGCTCAATTAGTACTTTTTAAATCGGCAGTGCCCAATGCAGAATCACAGATAAGGGAGAATGCAGGTTTTAGTTCGACAGGTCCCCCTGAGGTGATGTTAGGAATAGACTCCACAGGGAAAGCCTGTGGAGTCATTATGAATGATATAGTCAGGCCACAAAAGTTAGTCATTAATACTGATGTAAAGACCTTGAATGATGTACAGAAGTTAATAGGTGACATACAATGGATTAGACCAGTGTGCGGAATAACCAGCGATGATCTGGCTCCTTTGATGTCCTTATTAGGAGCAGATGCACAGGCAGATCAGCAAAGAAAGCTGTCTGAGAGTCAGAAGGCAGCTATAATCAACATTTCAGGAAAAATAGCTGCAGGATATGCTAGCAGAATGATAGAAGATCAACCAGTGCAGTATTTAATTGTTAACTCTGGAGGGAGCTGAAAGTATCCATTGGGGATCATCTGTCAAATAATAACCAACATAAAGATTTTGGAATGGGTATTTTGCCATATCAGCCCAAAAAGACAATAATGACACATTTATCCATCTGATAAATTACTGCCTTTACTGCAACATCAAACAATTGAGCAGCTTGTGTTGCTTTCAGATAACCCAGTTGATGGAATTACTGTTTTTACAGATGCAGGAAGAAAATCTCAGTGGGTGGCAGTCACCTGGCAGGAAGGATCAGAGTGGAAGCATAAATTGCTCCCAGGAATTCCAGGAGACACACTACAAATCCTTGAACTGTGAGGTGTTGTGTGGGCCTTGAATTTCTGGAAGGAAGAAGCTGTTAACGTAGTCTCAGATTCACTTTATGTGGTAGGTACAGTGCAAAGGTTAGAGCGGGCAATGATTAAACCTTTGAAAAATAAGATTTTAGCTGCACTCATGACACAGTTGTTAATATTTGTTGAATCAGCGAACACAACCCTGTTTTGTTACTCACATTAGAAGCCATCAGAAACTAAATGGGGGCTTAGCTATTGGAAATGATAAGGCAGATCAGTTAGTTGCACCTGCATGGGTTGGACCAGCTGTGAATAAATTTCAACAGGCGGTGTTATCCCATGACTTTTTTCATCAATCTGCAAATGTGCTAGCCAGACAGTTTGGATTAACTTTAACAGATGCTCGAGGCATTGTACAGGCCTGCTCAGCCTGTCACAAGAACGGGCTGGGTATTGGCTTGGGGGTCAATCCTCGTGGGTTACAAGCATTACAGCTCTGGCAGATGGATGTAACACATATCAGTGAATGTGGAAGATTGAGATACGTGCACGTTTGTATTGACACCTTTTCTCATGTAATTTGGGCCTCTGCTCAAGCTGGAGAAGGTGCTAGATATGTTATTCATCACATGTATGCATGCATAGCAGCCCTAGGGGTCCCCACAGAAATCAAAACAGACAATGGACCAAGTTATACCTCACAGCGGTTTCGTAAATTCTGTATGAATTGGGGTATTTATCATGTTACTGGTATTCCTCACTCCCCCACCGGACAAGCTATCATCGAGCGAGCGCATGGAGTTCTTAAAGCACTTTTGGGAAAACAGAAAGGGGGAGAGGAGTTATCCAGTCCACATGACCGACTTGCAAAAGCTTTGTATGTCTTGAATTTTTTGCGATTGACAGGGGATAGAACTGATTCCCCCATTGTCATACATAATACTTCTATGCAGTCAGGGTTGGTAATTCAACAAGCAATGGTAAAGGTTCAGTATAAAGATGCACAAACAGGGGACTGGAAGGGGCCTGCAGAGGTAAAAATGACGGGCAGAGGATATGCTTGTATTCTTACAGATTCAGGCATCCGATGGTTACCTGCACGATGGATAAAACTGTGGAAAGAAGGGGATACTGCAGGACAGGGCTAATGCTGTAATAATTATTGTTAATCCTACCAGGAGCTATTGTAAATAATCTTTTCTGTTGTTAGGGCATAGGGGACTTACATAAGAAAAAAATTTTTTTTGGGGGGGGGTGAGAGTATGTATGAGGTAGCCACCTTTGAATGTTTGGAAGACAGTTGTGTGCAAGAGAGAGGTATTGTGTGAGTTTATATATCTACATATATATTTGTAGGTTTAATAATCATTACATAGGTTTTAGAAAAGTTGGTGGTTTGGTTTTTTTTTGTTAATCAAAGGGTGTTGCATGAATTTATTCATTTTTTTATTAGTGTGTATGGTTTGTCCACAAAACAAAAAGGGGGGATTTGTTGGGGTTCTTAACTAATAAAAAGCATTAAATACCTCTGAGGGTATTTAAGAATACAGGTTATGTAAATAAAGTGGAACATTTGCTTAAGCCATATTGGTTTGCGTGCGTTTGTTCTCTGTGAGCTTCTCCGCCAACAAAGGAGCACAAAAGCACAGCATATATTGTAGATGCTTAGACAAATCCTTTGGCATGGTTCAATTTTTTTTTCTTTTCTTTGTATAAAGTTCTTAATCACTGCTAAACTGATAAGTACATGAGCCCCCACACTGTCACTTTTGTTTTCCTGCCTTGCAATCGACCAATCTTGCCTTTTTCTCACTGGATGGGTGAATGTTTTTGTGTTTTGAACTTTGTGCTATGGTCACCCTGTGGTGTCTGCCAAAGGGGCAGGTGATTGTGAACCACAGGGACACAGCACCACAAGCAGCAGCAGCAGCAAACAAATTCCAGGTGGACATACTATGATGCACATGCCTATGACAGAGCCATGGAAAGTCACAGCTGGATACTCCAGGGATATCTGCACGAGAGATTAACATGGAAGGAATGGGATGGTCCTTTCTTCCACCAGTACTCCCGCTCTTTTCCATCCCTAGGTTACAGCAGGGACAGCAAGCCCAGTTTCTTGGGTGTCGTGTTCTCTGCCCCTCGACAGCCAGACCATGGTCCATGGCTGGCTGGGAGAATCAAATGCTGTCTGTGCTGCAGTGAGCCTTGGGCTAGTATTAATTTATTAAGTATAAATGTAAGCATTTGGGGGAATTCTGTCCCCTTCCTTCTCCAGCCATTATTAATTAACATTAACGCTCAATTAACAAAAGCATTTGCTTGCAGTCAGGGTGTCTGCTAGCAGAAGCACAGTGCATTTGGGGGAGATATACTGTGGTGCTCACTTTGTGCCTGATTTAAAGTTTTTACATAAGCAAAACTGATTTCCAGTTAAAAGTTCTTCTTTATCCATAGCTTGGCTACACTGTACTGCTGTAGCCTTTGCTCACAAATTAGAAGGACTTATAGAAGTCCTCCACGTTTTTGTTTTTTTTTTGCCTTGCTGCCAGTAGTAATGAGTCACCCACACATTCACATATGTGCAAGCATGTGAAAACCCCTCTAAATGTCACAGTCTTTGGTCTCCCTGCAAAATATTTATTGTTTGGTTTTAATTGTGAAAAGACAACGGAGCATACAATCTCTCAAGCAGTAATAAAGCAGCAAAGCTGCTGCAGAGCTGTCAGAGAAATATAAAGATAAATAACTGAGCAAGACTTTACTTGACACAGAGGACTTCAGTAAGAGAATATCTATATACCTTAGCTAACATTTCTTGCATATCTTGAAATACACATTCAGGGTTTTTTAATAAAACATACTTAAACTTCATACAGATAATTTTGGGAAAAAATGTCATAATGAAAGTAGATTATAGTTTAAAAGTATCAGTCAGCAAAAGGCCAGCATAAAAAGTTGCATTCCATTAGCATAGCTGAATTTAATTTCTCTGGCTTTAAGTACTAGATTACTTTCTTACTCTAGAATGTTTAACCCCTTACTCTAGGGATGTTTAACAGAGCTGCCCATAAGAAAACACTTCTGATCTTTGGAAACTACACATGTAGAGACTTTTCTAAACTTCCAGTATCATTTTTCAAACAGCTGTTTTATTTTATTTCATTATTTTCTTAGGATTCTTCTTTTTATAGAATCTAAGTAGACTATTTTGAAACAAAACTATTTACCTTTATTTTTAATGTCACCACTGCTATGTCTTATTATAGGGACAAACATAATTTTACAACATTATGTTATGCACACCCCTCTATACCATCCCTCTTTCATGAAGTAAAAAGGGACTTGGAATATGTTTAGTTCAAATTTATTTCCTGTTTTCAAGTTGGCAATTAACAAAGTGAAAGCTTGTGCTTTTCTCAAGATGTTGCTTACCGGTAAAAATGAGAGTTTGTATGTCACAGCATACAAGCTTGCAATGTCACAGAAATTTATGCCATAGCAATGGGTAGTAACTGGTTTTAAAATGAAGTAACAGCTTCAGGGAATCCTGTTCTATTGTAATACCGCAAATTCTGGCATTGCCCAAATTAAAAAAGAAGAAAATAGCTTAGAAACTGAGTTATCTAAATAAAAGTCTGGTGCTTACCAGTTTGTGTTGGTATTCTAGAGGTGCTACGGTGGAAGAGGATGAGTTTTTGTTGGAGACAATATGAGTAATAGCCCAACAAATAATTAGATTAATAAGATAATTTAAAGGGCTGTGAACAACGCATAGGGAGTGGGACATTTCAGCATGTCCCTCCAACAGGCTCAGAGAAACTGTTGGCATAAACAAGCTTTTAAGTGAGAGTTTAGATGAAGATTGAGAGAAGTAGGTGTCAGAAGTCCTGATGCTAAGGGTGGCAATGCAAGAAACCAAATGGACTTGGACAAGAACCACGTGGGTATGGTATCCAGGAAAATGAAGAACTGAATGTGTTTATGTGAAGGTTTATCACCCTGATCAACGAGATACTTAAACTGCAATGTGTGGACTGTGTCAGCAATAGATAGAAATATAAATACCGGACCTACTGATGGTGGATACTAGCTCACAAAATTATTAGACTCAACATACCTTTCTACCATATTGTACAGGGTACTATATTAGTAAAACATCCCCATATTCATATTAATTAAGGGAAAATACAATTTTACTCTCAAGATGTTCTAAGCAATTTATCAAAGCATTACAAATAGATTTCATCTTGTATCTACATATAGGTAACTATATATTAATATTAAAAGCACTGTTTGGAACACTGTCTGTTCTACAGGTACTGATTTTTTCTTGACTGAGTTCAGTGTTCTACCTCTTTTGATCTTTTTTTGAGGCTCCTTTACAAAAAGAGGGCCTTCCAAGAGCAAGATCTGTACCAGCAAGTGGCCCTTGAATGAACTGACGAGGTGTACTTTCAACAGTTACCAAGCGACCAGGCCCGATCTGAAACACAAAATAAATGCATTGATTGACTGTCATGTTAGCATTCAAAATGACATGAGAGTTAAATCATTAACTGTCTTTTGAATATATTATTCAGCTGGTGGAGATGCCTCTGAGGTTCTGAGGCCCACTGAAACTATCTTTTACACTAAATTCACAATTTGTTCCCATCAATTAAAAAAAAAAAAAAGGAGTGTTTTTCAGCAGGTATTTGTATGTGCTCTGCTTTTCTGCCTTCATTCTGATCTTATGAATTGAAAAAAAGAAAATCAAGCCTTTCTTACAATAGAAGTTTGCTGTGCAATGCTATTTGAATTAGTATAGAATATCAGCCACAGATTTTGTCGTCAGAATTTCACTATACATTAATACTTCAAAGGGAAAAAAAAGGAACAGACCCTCTTTCTCTCAGAATGCAATTGCCTATAAGTACTGCTCCAGGAAAACTCCAAGACTGAAAGAGGTATACCCTTTATAGTCTCATTACTACTCTTTATACTGAATAGGTTCAGGTCTTTGAACAAAAATCCCTGAGTGATCTGTCTTCTAACTGCAACCTACTAAAACAAAAAATACAACTCTTTGAGTCCATGAGACCTTGACCAGTTTGCAACAACTATCTTAGCCTAATCATCATCTCTTCCTGCTAAGGGTGTTTGGCAGAGAGGAGGGAAGAAAATTGGTGCATTAAAAAAACTTTCCAGCCATATCTGTCAATTGTAATTCTTCTAAGCAATGTACCCAAGGAATTTTATATGATGTTGCTGATATATTCATTTTCTCAATACACTTACTTTGCAAAATGGACTAACCTTTTCCCCATTTTTATCTACAGTTATTGAAATATTTCTTACAGAATCATGAAGATATTTTCTTGTTAAATCCTCTCCCTCAAAGAAATGAACAATCTTGGCTTGAGGTTCAAGTCTCTAAAATAGAATCTAACAATATATTTCTCTCTGCTAATAATTGCCAGATCACCCATGTTTATATCTAAATTTTTCCGATACTTTCTGCAAAATATTGCTGTTTAACAGTCTCAATGATGTATATGCAAGTAAGTAAATTTTTCCAGTGCATTCCATCTTGCATTCACACATGCTTCCCTCCATATCTTTCTGAAGTTTAGGACAAAGATAACTTGATAAAAATCCTAGTCCAGCACTCTGAGACAATCCCCTTGCTTCTTACTAAGCTTATCTCTTCTTCATCACATCAAACATGAATTGCCTCTTTACTTTTTTAAGTTGCAGCCACCTTAGTTGTCATTATTCATTCATGCCAGAGAGCCCATGATAATAGAATCTCTCATCCTGTACAAGTTTGAAAACAGCACCTCATGTTTGTGCTTGTTTCTCCTTACATGTAAGAGTAACTTACAAGCAGTCAAGAAACTACCCCTCCCCCTTAAATCCTCCTTAGCTGTGATGCTTACACAGAAATAATCCAGCCAGCTCTAAAGCAGTTATTGACTAGAATGGGGATTCTCCCATGTCTTACCACATCTTGTCGAAACCAAACATCTAAACATGCTCTTAGGTCTCAATGAGATCTTAAAAATGGCTTTTATTTACTCACTCTTCAATTAACTGATAGCAATGAGAAAAAAAATTTTCAGCAGATACAATAACTGGCTTATCTGCAGACAGTCAGGAACACATTACTGACAAAGGACCGCTCTGTGGATGTATTAGAGGTCACACAGACTTATCCAACAATAAATGAAGGAGACCTTGACCTCAGCAAGGTTTTCATGAGTGGCTGCCTCAGAAGAGGTACATGACAAGTAGCACAGGGACCATCTTGCCCACACTTTTTCAGAGTAATTTGCAGATCTGAATCTCATTCTGACCAACTACTTGCCTGAGGGTATGTCAGAATGGGAAATGGTGGTTTTCAGGAGACACAGATTCTGTCTTATATACTTGAAGCTTGCCAACATAAACATTCTTAAAGAAAGCATAGGCAGCAGCACATATACAGCCAGAATAAACCCCAAACCACTTTCACATTAATGAAAATAAAACAGTGTCACTGAAGATTACTTACTGTTGTATGCAAGCCTTCAATATTAGTAGAATGGAATGCTCCAGTTTGAGTCTTTAATTTAGATCTGGAAGCCTCTATTGCTTTTTCCTGAAGCTTTTTTGCTTTCTAAAGATAAAAAAAGGCAAAATTGTTTTAATCTGAATTGTGTCATTTGCACTTGTTCAAAAATATACTAACAAAATGACAAAATAAATGAGGTGATAATTGTATTTCCTTGAATTGTAATACCATCCCTCCAGCTCCTGACTCTTTCTTGTACTGCAGACCTGAAAACAGAATAGATGGACGTGGCATTGCCAGGGCGGGAAGGGAATCTCCGCTTGCTGTGACCTGCGGGCTGTATTCCAATACACGGATGTGCTGTGAGCCTTCAGCGCCACAAGAGCGCACTGTTGCCTCATGATCAGCTTGTCACCCCACACACAGCACACACCTACCTCGCCTTTCAGTCCCCAGCTGTTCTGAGGCATCGCAACACAACCTCAATACATCCTTGATGAATGACTTCATGTTTCTTTCCCTGATACTTCGTGAGCCCATCCCTCCAGCTTGTCAAGATCCTTTTTAATGGCAACCCCACCTCCCAGCATATCAATTGCTTCCTCCAGCTTAGTGTCATAGAATCACAGAATCACCGAATGGTTTGGGTTGGAAGGGGACCCTAAAGATCATCTTGTTCCAACCCCTCTGCTGTGGACAGGGACACCTTTCATTAGAACAGGTTGCTCAGAGGTCCGTCCAACTTGGCCTTCAGCACCTCCAGGGATGGGTCATGCACACTTGGAATGGGGATGTGATGAGGATGGATAGTGATGCAATATCCAAGTCATTAATTAAAATGTAAAATCAACCCTATATTATCAACCCTATAATAAACTCTGAGGAATATCACTCAAAACTGACTGTTAGTTAAACTGTAATCACTGACCACTGTCCTTTGAGCCCATCAGTCCAGACAGTTTTTCATCCAACTTGTAGTCAGTCCACCTGTATGTAGTCCAGTCTGTATCTCTTCATTTTGGCTACAAGAAGGCTACCACAAGACAAAAACCTTGCTAAAGCCAAAAGAATAGACATCCATCTTCCTCTTTCTCCAGGACAAATAATTTTTTTCAGGCAACCATGTTGGCAAGGCATGACTTGTCCTTGGTTAATCCATGACAGACAAACTACTTGTCCCTCATGTGCCTAAGATAGCTTCCCAGGGACTCAGTTAAAACTAATGAGTCTGTAGTTTTCCAAATCCTTTTTGGGCCCCTTTTCATTTTTAATTGTAACATAGATCTTTACCACAGACCAGGGAGCTGTTTGCATGGGAAGAAAATTGTTTTCCTTTACATCTTGGGAAAATCAGGAAAAATTAAATTTAGAAGCTAAAGTTTTGTTTAAGTCTGATTTCATTCATTCTATAAGTTAGTCTGATTGCCAAACGAGTACTCCAGTATTTTTTATGGCTTTTAGGGAAAGCACAAATATTGCTAGAAGGAACTCCTTTCTTCATAAAATATTTCTCATCCTGAAAGAAGTTTGCTGTACTAAAAATAGCATTAGAAAAAATTAAGAAAAAATTAATAAATGTAAGAATGAACAGACTTTTAGTTTCAACAGTTTCAGGACAAATACACATATATACACACCCCCTCAATTGCAAGTGACAAGGTTGATCCTCAGTTTGTGATTTTAATCAGAAAAGTAGAAGGATCAAAGCGAGTACATTTACAGTTGCTTCTTCTATGTCTGTGTGAATATAAAATTTACCATAACTTCTACTTGAATAACCTCATGACTCATTAAGAAATGTCTCTGGAACTTTGCCATTATAACGACATCGCGAATGTAAATTTTTTCCTCCATCAGATTTCTTACCTTCAGTGCCTCATAGGTTGATGTCCGAGCCAAGAAATTTTCCCAAGATTTATTTATTATTTCCCTCTGCTTATGTGTAGCTCGGATCTGTAATATAAATGAGATTTACAAGGGGCAATACAACCCTCTTTTACAATACAACCCAATAATTCTCATGAGCTTTTCTGAATTCTTGGCTTGTGCTGTTTGAAAGCTTCGTTCACCTACGCCCCTTTAGCTACCTTCGATCATCCCTCTCACCTGAGATTGGATGATAATGTTGTAGTAAAGCATTTGTCCTTTAAAAACTTCATTTATGCACTGCCTCTAAAAACAAAAAGAGGCTTACTTTCTCTGTGCAAGCTCGTTTTCCTCTCTTGCAACACATATGTTGGACACACATGTTGGAAGAGGCCCAGCTCTTTCAGGAATACTTTCTGTATGTTCTTACTCTCAAATGCTGAACAAGACAGATAGAATCAGTTCAGGTAACACAAGTGCAGTTATCACAATGCGTGACAATCCCTAAAAAACACTAGCATGAGATTTTAGACAACTGGACCAACTGATCCTACTTCTCAGAGAGCAGAAGGTGAGCCAATAGATGAGAAAAAATGCCAAACACTTGCCTTATAACCAAAGCTGGAAAATACCTATACCTGCTCATCCTTAGCATGCTGGGAAGCCCAAAGCTCTGCTTTCTGAAGTAATAAAGCTCTGTGAATATTCAGCCAAGGGAACTTATAATAGAGGCTTACATTTTGTTTTAAGAAGCAGATGTAGTTGTAATAGGTACTTTTAGTTGTTATCTGCTACAGATGAACCCAGCTGCAACTCTATAGCAACATAATGATAATTCCTCCTTACACCATTGCTGATGCATCACTGATGACACTGCTTCATTTTTTAATGTTACCCTCTAAATACTGGGAAAATCCTACTATTTGGGAGGACTGATGTTAACCTAGCGTAATTTAAAGGTAAAATTTTGCTGCTGAGACAGATTACACCATTTTCAAGCAATGTAGATGTATAAAAGTCTCAACATTATATAATAAGAAAATCTGCATATAAATTGACAAAAAAGCTTACACAGGCTTTACTTATTTACATATTTAAATACTCCTTGTCTTACTTTTCTAAATGTTTGGTTCTCTTCTTGGATTTCTTGGTGGAGCTGACTTTCAATCAGTTGAGTCTGTAGAGCATTAACTGCTTTTCCAGTATCTTCCGATACCTTTGAAATAGATTCCAAGGCATCCTCATCTGACGCAATAGGCTTGAATTCTTCTTCTACTTCTGCACATATTTCACTCCAAACTTCTCCCACCTGTGTGTGAAACACACACCACACTATTTGATATTGATCTCATTTTTCAAAATTATTCAATCATTCAAAACGTAACAGAGCAGCCTTCTTGCTGTTGTTTGACTTCCCAGAATTTTTATGCAAGGTTAGCCTTAACTAATGCTATGCCAAATTTATTCATGAATGAATTTGCTCCCTAAGCCTTCCCAAGCCCAAGCTTGATTTCACAGAGGAGTAACCAGAATGTTAAGTACAGAAATTCAGAAGAAATACAGATAACTCTAAGATATCAAATTACATGAGTGTTGTGTCCTACTGCCTTCTTCTTAAAATCTTAAATTGCAGACATTATTAGAACACCATAACTACCATTAGTTTCTAGTCTTATTTTCTGTGTGGTCACAAAGATTTGTAGCAATGCAAGGGAGGACTCTGGGGATTGTTGCAATGCTGGAGGTGGGCTTGTTTCTTTTGATGGAAAACACTGGTTTATACTCTGTGAAACTATGGGTGACTTGTGACACAGGGGATGGCTTTTGAAGGATTGTTTGCCATACCCTGAGATATACTTAATATTTTTGGAAATGCAGATACAGCAGTAATATTTTCTTGAACAATACTCACTTTAAAGTCAATGTAACGTCGAATGATAGCAAGTGTAACAAAATCCTCAGTAGATAAGCCAGGTAAATTTTCAAAACCTAAAAGAATATTAATAATTTCTATATTAACAGTATTATGAGTTTATCTTAAAATATAACGTTACAAAAAAAGATGTTATCATATAATCACATGCAAAATCTTCATCACAGATACACCAGTTAGTCATTCTTGATCCTGAGCAGCCTTTAACTGATAAAATAACCCTGTTTTCTCCATAATAAATTCTCTGTACTAAAATCTTTATTAGGAGTGGCTCTGCTGACCTTCAGTCACTTGGAAGGCCAGAATAGTACTGCATTTGCTACACTTTTGTGGTAAGGGTTGAATCTTCTGTTAAAGCAGAAAAACATTTGAATCTACTGGTCATGGTTGCTAAAGCAGCAGCTCAGGACAAGTTTGCTTTAACTGTGAAGCAGTCAACAGGAAAATTATGTTAGTGTTTTGTTTCAAAGCTCTATAATGAGGGTGTCTTCCATCTTATAGGCTTGTACCTTCAGCATAATGCTGCGAGCATCATGACTCCATCTTCAAAGAAATATGTTTCCACTATGTGCAAAACAATATGGTAGAGAAGTGTAGTTGCTGAGACTATGCCTAATTTTTTTTTTTTGCATATTGAATGTTATTTGTATTTAATAAAAAAGATAAATCTATATATAGTCTATCAAATTTCTTTCTAGACTTCGTCATACCAGCTGCATGCTAACTGGGAATGTAGCATCTGTATAGAGTATAATTACATCATCTTTTGAAGCTAAGAAATGCCATAAATAATAACCATTTAACACTGCTTTTCTGGATCACTATTCTGGCTGTTATGGGGCCTAACAGTAAGAAGAAGATGCTGAGGAAAGACTACAAAAATATTTCCATGTTATATTATCAGCTTTCATGTCATTTCAGTACTTCACAGGAGACACTATAATATATATGACTAACATAAAAGGCATGTGTGAATATAGGAGAAAGCTGGAAGAAAATCTCATGCCATTTTGTTTTAGTAAAGAATTCAGCTGTGATCCAACATTTAACATAATTAATGCTAATGAAAATTAGTAAGAACTTTGGTTACAACAGAGGAGACACTAGTTATAGATTATTAGAGAACCTAAGGATGTTTCCAAACCAGTTCATTCTCTAAGTTACCCAGGGAACTGGTTGAAGCAATCTCAGAAAAATTACTGATTACTTTGGAACCTGTGGAGGATGGATGTGAAAAAAACCCACAAAAATGAGGCTTATTTTTAAAAGGGAAAATGGACAAGCTAGAGAATATTTATTCTGTTCAGTTCCTGAAAAAAACCCCAAACCTGAAACCAATAATAAATAATGTTTATGCAGCTAAATGGTAACAGTGAAAAAAATTAATATCCAACAGGAATTAGCAAAAACTAAGACCTAACATTTCTCCATAGACAGATAAAAAAAATCCTATGGTTGTGGAAGAATTTATCACTTATCTTGACTTCAGTCTAGGTTTTAAGACAAGAGTGTAATGAGTATTCATATTCAGTGTGCAAACAATGAAGAATTAGGAGGGAGTGCAGCACTTTGAAGGAAAATATTAAAATGCAAATTAATCTTGCCAATCTGAAAAATTACCTAAACACACAGAATTTAATTCAGTAAGGACAAATAAAAAATTCTAAATGTAGGAATAGTTATTTATACAAATCCAGGAGTGTAGATGACTGAACAAGACTCTAAGTTGAATAAGCAAACCATATCATGCTACTACAAATACAGCAATTGTTACATTAATGTCTGACTGTTTATTTACAAGATGAGTAGAGTAACATAGCTGTATTTGGCTGTGAGCCTTCTGCTGGAGTACTGTCAATTTTGGGACACTACAGATCAAGAAGAATTTGAATCAATTGGAAAGACTCCAGAAAAAAAAGTAATTAGAGGCTATGCTAGAAAATGAGAGAAAATGAGTTGAGTACTGTCTTTCTAAATCTAGGGAAATAAATGTAAAAGTGCTAAACTATGTGAAAGAGATATTGTGTGTGGGAAAACAAATTACAGAGAATTTCAAGCAAATTTCAGGTTTAGTCCAACAAAAGCTCTTCCTAATAATTCCTGAGACTAATTAGGGGAGTTTTCCTAATACCCCCAATGGTACAGGCAGCAAAGTACTGGAGAAGCATAGAAATCCCCATCAATAGGGACTTTCAAGAACAGAATGAACAATTATCTAGTAATAACAGTATTGACGATGCATCACAAAGTTTCCATTGACCTTTATTTTTTTTTTCATAGGGACTTTATTGATCACCAGTGAACAAGTTCAGTTTAATGACAAGTAAGACACTGACAAGGCAATTCACTAGTCTTACCCAGCTTGCAAAATAATGAATAAAGTTTTGCCCGCATGTTCTCTGAAATTTCCATGATGGCAAAGCTGGGACAGCTGGCAGGCACGGGAATGACCTTTTGCTGTCTCTGGAAGCTGCTAGCAATAGGTCTCTTCATGTCTAATAATTTCAAAACATAAAACCAGAGTAGAAAAATGAAGAAGTAGTATATTCCCAAACTTAGAGGAAATCCAACTTACTTTGTGGACACACCATAAATCATTTTGGTAGTTTGGCCAACAATTTGAACATAATTCAGGCCAGGAAATTTTAACTGCCATGATTAAAAATTTGTGAGAACAGCACTCACTGCTTTTTACAACGCATAACTAAACACAATGCCTTTCTTGGAAAAATTAAGTAGTTTAACTGTCTAGCATTAGAAAAGCTGGTCATGGTTTTGTCCAGTATCTGGTTCATTCCCAGCTGATGTAGGAAACGACACAGTGGCCAGAAAGAAATGAAAATAAATAAATAAATAAAATAAAATAGAAAATAAATAAAATAGAAGATCTTTAGGGTTTGGTAAGAATTACAGTGTAAAGCTATAAATGCCATTATGTATTTTCATCAAGTTCAGACTACAAAAGCAAATACTGTCATTATTTTACCTAATCAGTGGAACTGCTCACAGTTTCACATGCATCATAAAACTTACCAACAATCCTTCCATATTGATCGCGTCTGACTCCCAGCTCCAGCTCCTCCTCTCTCCATAACTGTATTAGAAGGCTAGCTGCTGTTTGAGCTTTCTCCCCTCGCCAGGTATTGATGTGCAAAGTGGTTTTAGGGTTGCCACAAAATTCAACCAAGATTCTAAGAATTATATTGCACAGGTTCTTTTCCTTTAACTTGGTCAAGGGAAAACGAAAAAAAAACATTTTAAACTGTTCAAAACACAATGATGTCTCCTTTCAGAGAAATTGTGTAATATGTAATCAAGTAACCGCAAGCTTTTCATCACTACTATTCGCACAAAACTTGTATAAACTTGTAAATCTTTCAAGTTTCTGGAATCCTGCCACACAAAGCTCCATAAATCAAGGAACGTGAGGGGCATGAGTGCAGGATCATATAAGATGTGCATTCCTGTGTGTAGAATTACAGAGCAGGTTTTGTGTACGTGCCTCCAGGCTCACATGCTGGAGAGAATACTGCTACTGAGATTTATTGTTTTAAGAAATAGCCTATGAAGGCAGTGGCTCAGCGGTACCACTCAGCTCCTCTTCTGGTTTGAGGGCAGATCACTGAGCAGCAGCTGAGAAGAGGGAAGATCTTCAAAATGAAAGAGGGCAGATTTAGATTAGGTACTAACAAGAAATTCCTCACTGTGAGGATGGTGAGACACTGGAACAGGTCACCCAGAGGAGCTGCTGACGCCCCATCCCTGAAATGTTCAAGGCCAGGTTGGATGGGGCTTTGAGCAACCTGGTCTAATGGAAGGTGTCCCTGCCCATGGCCGAGCAGTTGGAACGGGATGATCTTTAAGGTCCCTTCCAACCCAGGCCATTCTATGATTCTGTGAGTTTAAGGGTCTGCAGCCTTAAGGACATCAAGGGCTGACAGTACAACCAGTGAGCACGAGGAGGGAATGAACCAAGGAAGGTGCATTTTTATTTTGTAAAAGGTGAAATATCTGTGCCAGCCCAGAAGTAAGCTACACAGACAAAATACATGCACAAAGTAACTTTAAATATAAAAACTTCTAAGGCCATGAAATGTATACTAACTCTACTCTTACTAACTTCAATATAAGGTAGAAGACTGAGGTGCTTTTCTAAACAAAGATGTCATCGAAAGTTAGAGCACAGCTGGGGTTTTCTTTTCAAAAATAGTATACTTTGGTTAAATTAAGAACTCCCTCTGTCAAATACTTATTAAAAAAATAAAAAAAAGATACATGGAAGATCCTACAATAATTTTTGAGCAGATACTCAGGTCTGTCTCAGGGAATTAAATATACTGATTTTTTTATTAGTGTTATAATAGTCTTAGGAGATACTGTAACAAAAATAATGCAGTTTTACATGTTGTTTTCCTACTCTTTCATTCTATAAAAACAATAATAAAAATACCTACTGCCAACAAATCCAGAAGGAGAAAAATGCCCTGTTTTTCAAGAAAATGATCCTCTGCAATGTAACATCCAATGACACAGGACCTTAAACAGAGGTAATTTCACCATGTAGAAACACTTTCATGCTTTATAACATTCTAGAAGCATCTCATTTATTTTACTGAATTGCACAAATATATTTGGTACACAATATGCTTCATACCTTCAGGGAGTAGAAAAATCATGTTTCATATGCCTTTTCATTTATACTTTATAACTAAATACACCCTGCTTGACTGCTTTTTCTTCTCCTGCCGGTGCCACACCTTCCTGTGTACCAGCCCAAGAAATCTGGTAAGTTCATGTGAATTGGACTAGAATGTGTACTGGAACTAAAACTAACTCAGTAAAAGATGCTAAAATTTAGCTAGATCATGGCCCTGATCTGGTTTATTGCAGGGCTGTGCAAAATCAAGGGGATGAGACAAGCAAGAGTTGTGTTTTTTGGCAACGGTTTGCTTCTCCCAACTTAAAATCATCACAAAGCCAGCATTCTTGTTGCTATTGCTTCCTTAAATTGCCTCCTTCCGTTATTTCCTCAGTTATGGTCATTAACAGAGAAACTAAAGGGAACTCCTGTATCAGTCTTTTCTCCCAGCAAACATATTTGGTTTTCAATATATTTACCAACCTCTGCCTTAAAACAAATTAACATTTTATTATCATCCTATGTATTGGCATTCTCTAATAGCAATCTTTAAAATATTTCTAGCCCAATATAGCCAGTTTACAAACACTTCTTATGCTTACACAGTTTTCTGCTAATATTGGTCTGTTCTTGCCTTCTGTTTACTTCTCTGAAGTTATTTACAGACTCTAACCATATACCTCTCTTAGAAAGTCTTGAGTAACTCTGCATGTCAGGAGGTCACTCTGTGTGGGCAGTCAGGCTGTCATACTGAATCCTTATTTAGAAAACCTTATATGCAGAACATTCAATTTCTTTTCCATCATTTTTAATTAGCCAAATTTTATGAAGGATTTTTATACATTATAAATAGAAGAAAGGATATAGTATAGCAGGCCTAAAAATTACAAGACTTGACATTTTTCAGACTTACTGCTGCTAAAATACTTTACTAACCACACGCAGTCGAGTGCACTGAAGAGGAGATAACTGTGGCCTAATCCACTATATAACTCCTTTGGATCCATCTTAAGGAATGGGATAAGTATACCAATTCCTTCATAGCTGAAGAGTTCCTGTTGAAACATTTAATTAAAGCAATATCTTTCTTAAACAATATTTATTAAATAGGAAATATGCAAGGAAATACAATGGAAACTGGGAAATGTGAACATTTGTATTGTCATATTTTTGGCCCACTTGTTAGAGCAGGATATAGTGATTATGACACACATAAGAAAAAGAGATTTTCAGGTTTTCCAAACTGCTAATCTCATTTGTTTACACACCTTTATATATTAATTTCAAAATCATGTGGATTAGCAGTTAAATAGCTTCAACACTTCTTAGTGGATTTCTGAGTGGTTTTGCATTTTAGCTGTCACAGAAACCAGTTACCAGACCCAACCTGTTAGCAATCAACTACAGTTGACATCTGCTTTTGAATTAAAAAAAAATCAGTATCCCTTCAATGAAAATATAACAAGTTTTGACATTTTTTGCACAGTATAAGGTAGAAAGATACATACCTTTCTGTGGAGATCCTTTTCACAGAGAACAGACAAAATAAATAATGTATCAGCTTGGATTTCCAGTAGAATGGCATCTTCTTTCCTTTTAGATTTGTTTGCTGCATACCTTAGGATTTCTGCAAATGAATATATTTTATTTATGCGAATGTCCAATACACCAGTTGGAATTCTATTACAGTTGCTACTTTTCAAAAAACTCAAATTTACACCAAGGGATTTTTAAAGTAACCTACTTGTCCTGTTCAGTTTTATCTCCCATGTTTTATAATAACTTACAGAAGTGCAGCACTCTGATGCTGTAGTTTCACGGCCTTTACTCTTGGTGGCAGAGTTTCAATAGCAGTTGGCACTGATCAGTCTCTGTGCTGCCCCTTGTATTGGGCCAGAGCAAAGAATTCAGAGAATTGATCTGAATTCAGGAACTCTCAGAAAAAAAGCATCAAACTTACTGGTTTGCCCTACTACACAGCTTCATAAACATTTGTACTGACAGAGGAAATGTAGGAGAGACATAAAATACCACTGCTGCTGACAAAATCAGCCTTTGAACCACTAGAAAGAAGACATTCAGACACAAAACTCCCCCAAAGCAAGAAAAGCTACTTAAATCTGGTATGTCAGGTGTAGTGTTAATTTTGCTTTCACTGGAAGCTGTAAGTTTCCGCAGTTTTCACTGGAGTTCAACTGAGGCTATAAAATACTTTATTTCTAGGCTTTCTATTAGAATATACTTTTTGAATTCCAAAGGATCTTTTCTGTTTTGTTTCCTTCAGTATTACTCAGAGTACTGAAAACTTTTTATTATTGTAAGAAACAAACTTAAATGAGTTTGTATTGAACTTAATCCCAAATTTAACAGTAGGCATGTGTTACTGAACATGAAAATGCTCTAAAATTGCAGAAGCAGCAGATAAGCAGTTTTATTCTCCTCTTATTCTTCATGTTGTTTATATAAAGGTACATTGTTATTAATTTTTTTCTACTCTAAAGAGGAGTTGTGGAAAGTGACACCATAATAAGACTTATGTAGGAAAATACTCATGGCTGGAGTTCCTAGGGACTACCACAATGAAAATACAAGATGCAATAAATGCAATATCATAAAGGGAGAAGGGACAGCTTTCGCTTTGAAATTAAATACCTGGACTTTTAAAGCTGTCTGTTTTGTTTAATTCATTCAATGTATGTTGTAATGTAAAAAAAAAAAAAAATTAAAAAGAATTAAAATAAAAATCAGTTATATTTTGGATTAATTATTAGAGGTTTTTCAGTTTTTCAGGAGTCAGAGGAATAACACACTAAAAGCACAGCACACCAAAAAGTACGAACAGTCTTAGTGTTGACAGAAATGCACTAAGTACAGCAATACAAATTGTGCTTTACCCAGTAGCTGGCTAATTGCTCCCTGGTCACACAAATTAAGGTTCACAGCATCATCATAAATGGAGGCAACACATCTCAGCACTCTGAGACTGTAGCGCATTTGTGCAAGTTTGTTGCCACGACCACCTGTTCCATGGAAACTGTTACCTTGAGCAAAGAAAGGATCTGTGGAGCAATCACAACGAATATTGGGTTTGGCACAGTGTATCTTCAGAATAATAATGTTCTCAGGGGAAAAAAAAAATCAGCGTAAGCTAAAAATTAACAAAAAACCCCCTTAAAGTTACACAGGATTTTTGTTTAAAACTCTGTAGTAAAAAGTCTTTCTGTGTAAAGCTATACTTCGTACATGCATAAGAAAGGTATGATTTTGGTGAACATTTAAAATTATTTTAACATTTTTAACCATACTAGGTTAATGAGCAGTCTTCAAAACTGAAAATATCTGCTTTAGCATGACATTTAATATCAGCCTTTTGGTCTCCATTTGGCCCAAATACAATGTCAATTTTATGATAACAATATCTACCCCCAGCAATCCAGTTGCTAAAATTGAGTGCAGTTAGTTACGTTTTTGCTTAGCCCATACACTTAGCTGATGCCCACAAGCTAGCTTTAATCTGGAAGCTGTTTTACTGTGCACACCTCTGAGTTAACATGTCCTCCCTCATGGCAGGATTTACTGGTTGGACTTGCTGCCAGAATAGAAGTATCTGACTGGCTTAACACATGGGCAGCAGAGGTGTTTGGCTGCCCACAGAGCTGAAGGAATATCAATACAGTGGTACACGGGAAAAGAGGCAACAGCTTATCCTTCAGTAGAAAAAAACTATGGTTGGTTTTTTTTTTTAAAGAAACATTAGCTTTCTAAGTGACCTATCGAAAAAGAATCATTCTGAATTCATGAATTTTACATTTTCCCTTCCTGTCAAAGAAAGAAAGTACAGTTGAAGTGTGTTTTGAGGTTATCTGTGTGTGAAAGCCATGAGCACGTACTGACCTTGGCCTATACACCATTCTAGAAACACAAGGAGAAGAGTATTCGCTTGGCAGGACAAATATTTATCTATTAACACACGAGCCACTGCAGCTAAAACTGCAATTGCATGAAGCTGCAATTCTTCATATTGGGCAGCGGACCAGTCATAAAATCCAGGCTTTTGATTTGGTTTTACATAATAAAGCAAAGCTGGCATCACATCACTTTCACTGAGGAGCTGCAGAGTTAAGACAAACAGAAAGAAAGACATCTTGCAGGTTTCATCAGCAAATAAGAAAAATCTAAAGCAATGAGTAAACTTTATCTATCCTACTCTAAGAAAATTATTTTTTTATTGAGAAAGCATGTCATGAACACTGCAAGTACAGGCAATCTCTCTTTATATTCTGTAGCTTTCCCACAGATAGTGGTTTATTAAACTTTATTATGTTATTCATGTGCATTTCAATAATACTTTGCAGTCACTTATCAGCAATTCTCCTAGTATGTCTAAATTTCTAACTTTTCTAAAATAGAAATTGTATGCTGCTTTCAAACAGCAGGACTTGACCAAAGCTACGTATGAATTCTTCAATTGGAGAACAGCTGATTTCAGTGTTCTAGACTAGGCCTGACAGACAGCTAATTCCCTTGTTCATGTAATTCATGCAATTCCCTTGTCTTTTTTTTCCCACTTATTGTATCTTCTGTTCTGTTAAAACTTACCTGTGCAGCAGATGGATTTTTAGATAAGACTCCTATTATGTTAAATAGTAACTTCTTCATCTCAAAGTCCTCATAAGAGTAGGTAAGTTTAAGACCTTTTACCAATGGATTGGGAATTTTCACTATGAAGTAAATTGTAAATGAGTTACAAAAAATCATCATCAAAAGCAAAAATAATGTAATTATGTAGTATGAAATCTCTTACCTTCATTAAATGTTGCAAGTGCTATTAAGAGCTTTGCAAATCCACTTTCCTAATAGACATTTGAAAAACATACATTAATTCAGTTGCAGCAAAATTAAGACCTATAATTTAATTTAGGTTTTTCTTTTTTTCTTTAGAACATGGAGTTTAATGTATCCTATGGCAGAATAAACAGAATTTTATCAGAGATCAGCCATTTGGACAGTTTACAATAACAACGACAGCCCTACGGGTACAATTAGTTAAATCCATTCTTCATTCAGTACAAGTCTGAACTTCTATGGGGAATTCCCAAACGCATGTATGCACTGCTATAATTTACCACCCAAGAAAACCCTCTTCTCAGTACTCTTATAATTGTGGATTTTAAAATGCATTTGTGCATGTTTTTACATCAGGGTCATCAGTACATATAATTTTGTGGCTTCAGTTGTGCATATTACTACACTTCTACTTCAGTGCATTCACAAGTAAACATATGAAAAAACTGCATGTATGATCCACATGCATTTACAAATACCACATATTAAAAGTTCAGAAAATAAAATCTTGTAATTCATAGCTCTTAGAGAGCTAACAGAAGGACAGCGACGTCTAATATAACTATGGATAAGACCAAGGCTAGAAGGTGTCTATGCAGAACACTACAGGCAAAAGAGCTTTGTTTCTGAGATGATTAGAAACCACTTGAGCAACATAATACATTAGGTTGGCCTCAGAACTGTGGCAAAATCACCACTGAGCTTTCCACCAGTCCCAACAGGAGCAGAGCTCATGAAAGACTGCAGAGACATCCCAACAGAATCAAGCAGTTCTTGTTTCACAGCATCTTTTCAGACTCATCCACAAAAAGCTGGGATCAAATTTGTTCAGCCTAGTTCCAGAAGTTAGCATCCACTCAAAAGATTTTAAAAATCAGAAAAATGTCACAAAAATAATTTTAAAGAAAATGTTGAAGTATACAATTATATCCCCTGTAAGTTTTTGTCTCTATGGTCTATATTCTCTGTACAAAGCTATTGCAAAGTGATTAAATAAAAAACATTAAAATTTACTAATGTTTTCTCCATGATGATTAATGCAGTACTAAATTCTGATGGAAACCAGTAAGCAATTAGCAAATAGACAATTTTGTTCTAACACAGAGATAATAATAATTAATATCATAGTTAGCTTTACTTTACATATATTTTCCAGTTTGCTTGTGGTGACAAAACTGTTTTCCTTTTCAAAGGGTCAGGTTGCTGTGCTGATTTCTGAACTACGTAAAATACAAGACTGACTTTTCTGAAGTTGCCTGGATGGTATATTAAGGAAAAAAGAGAGCATTCTGAAGCGAATTTCTCTGGTATTGTCTATAAGGCAGGATTAAATGGTAATGTAAATGCTTTCCCAATATTTATATCCTTTAAAATCTCTAGGAAGGCTGAGAGTACAGAGTTTAATTTATTTTAATATTTTCTTTGCATGGAAACAATTTTTGTTCCTTTTAGTGTAAGCAATTAAAAATATGCATCCTCTTTACTTATCTTATAGGAAAAAACTGCCAGATAAATAATTTAAATGTTTTACACATCAAGTATGTTCCTGCAGTAGTATAACAGATATTTCATACTAGTTAGTGTTAAATGGAAAGCTTGAATGAAAAACCTGTAATTTTCATTACACATTATGAAATCTGTTTAGTAATACAGCTGATCGGAAAACTTCTGCTCAAGTAGAAAGCAACATATTCCTGAACAGCAAACAGATCTAAAGGAATCTGATTGCTTGATTATTCAGTACCTATGTCACAACTTCATTTGAAGTTCTAAATCTCAACTGTAAAACAGAGGAGGAAAGGAATATTAACATCTATAAAAAGTTAACTTTTCTTCAAGTTTCTCATAAAAATTCTGGAATATTACAGAAGAATGAATCATCTCCATTTCAGGCAAGTCATGATAGAGCATTTTGTGATCTAGTCTTAAAAAGAATTAATGTGCCTCTCATTAACTGGACCTAAGTAATTATTTTCCCAGCATCTTACTTAGAGCTTCTGAGCTGATTTTGGATGACCCTTCTTGTTCCTGGTTATGAGGCACAGATTGAATTTGGGCCATCTGAATGTAGACTGTACTCCTAAATCTTCAAACAACAAATGAGATTTAGTGCAAAAACTCATTGTAACAGAATGGCACATCCAAGAATCTGTAAAAGCATACAAGAGTTAAGATTAACTTTTGCACATAAATAGCATTAGTGTAATTTTTTAAGTATCAAATAAGGTTGATGTCAGTACTATGGCCTAATAACCTACAGATTTGAAGTCTCTTTGAGGCAAAGAAAATTGCCTTTTTTTCATTAAGAATACTTTCTTGCCCAGCAAATTCAAGAAAGAAGAAAGCACTGAAGACACAGTAGAACAAATATTAGAACCCTAGTGGGGAAAAATATTGAGCAATATAATGACAAAGGATAGTCTCTGGAATATAACTATAAATACTTACAACCAAAGGTACTGCAGGGTTTTCAGCTAGTAATGTGGCAATCACCAAGAGGTCATTCCGTAGCTGATGATCACAGTGCCGGAAACCATGTAGGGCATCTACAAATACTTCTTTCAGAGCACTTTAAAGAAAATTAAATGCATTTTATCTTTTCCTTTCATATTCTTATGTTAGACAGCTCTACGGATATCAATTCTCATTCAGCATGGATAAAAAGCCTTAGGGTTTAACTGGAAGAGACATAACTTAGAGCTTTAATTTAAGATGGATTCTTATGTGTACCACTAGACATCCATCTTAAGTATACATGCCAGTTGCATGCATTACAAATTACACCTTCCACTGTTTGTGTTATAAATAATTAATAGAAAGACCTAATGATTACTCAAGCGTGGAACCAGACATTGTTCAATGATTACTGACAAGAAATGGTCTAAACTTAAACAGTTAAAACACTGTAACTCAGTAAGGAAGAACCTGTTATTTACTCCAGTAGAAGATCTAGAAATGAGCCTTGGATATCACAGCACAGAATTGCCTACTAATTTTATAACATAAGCATTTCAACAGTGAAGGAATACTGGCCTGCTGAGACTAACATGTGAGCTTGAAAATGCTGCAATGAACTTTTTCATCATACAAAGCACTAGATAGGGCTATTCCTCCTGCAGTATGCAGTAGAGCACCTTGTTCTTGCCCTATAACAGCAACAACTGTGTTAATACTGAAAATTTAATGAGGATGTCATGAGAGACCTCCATTCCCCATTTGCATTTTCTCTCAATTAATTTCAAGCAAAATGCTGCACAACAGCAATGCTTTAGATGTCTCCAAAAATTACAATACTAATTCATAAAATGCTTCCCGGTACTTACTGAACACATTCCAAGCTACTGAGCTGATTAACAACTTCTTCTTTAGAGACGTTTTCTAGTAGGTTCCATAGGATATGTGAGGAGCGGAACACCAGCTGTCCTGAGGGATCCGGAGCATTTAGATACAAACAGAGCCTGCTGGCTGCTTGGGCCTTCATCATTAGTCTGCAATTTTCTCCTGAAATTATGAAAATCTGAATAATTAATTCCCTGTAGGTCAGTAATTGTTTTAGGCATGTTCAGAGAACAAATGGTCTAAGAACAGCAGTAATGAGATTGTTGAAAGAACCGTTTGTACTAACCAGAGCTGGAGAGATGCTGGAGAGCTTTAAGTACCCATAACTTCTCAGTAAGTTGATTTTCAACTAATGCTAGTGACAAAACAAGAGTTTCTGCTAATCCTCCTAATTCAGCCATCTGGATTTTATAATTTGCACTTGTTGGCTGGTAACCTGCACAGAAAATAGCTTTAGTTATAATGCAATAAATACTCAAAATTTTGGTTACTTCCTAAAATATTCATCCTTTCTCAAGAAAGGATTGAGAACCATCCATGTATCTTATTTCCTTAGTCTTAAAGCACTTAAAAAAAAAATCCAGTACACAATAAGACCTGCTTTTCTTACATCTGAATAGGACCTAAAGCATATCCAACACTCACCCTCATGCAGACTTAAATGTTATATAAACAAATTAATTGCTTCTTAGAATTTACAGAATGAAAGTAAAAGCAGGCTTATAGAGAGGTGAAAAACTTTCTTCAGTCATGCAATAAGTTGTTGGTGCACAGTCTAGTTCTCTTCTGCAGCCTGGTCACTACAGATTTAATGCTTTCTATCATCATATTACTTAAAACATCCAATCTTTGATTTATAAGCTTGACTTTCTAATGTGTTCATGATTTTACTCTTGGCCATGCATATGCATTCTGTATTTCACTACTGAATCATGGGGGGAGGGGAAGCATTGAGAATATAAATTTATATTTATACATGGTAGCTTATGAAAATAAAGTTTACCTTAAACAGTATAAATATATATATATGTCAAACATCATGAAATACAGGATTGATAAATACAGATAATGCATGCAGTGAAATGAGTTTCACCTAAGGATAAACTCTGATAGGCTCCAAGTTGATATTACTTTACAGATATGAGGACCCTGCAAGATTAAACTTGGCAAGATTTATACATATACTTAGAGATAAAAAAGTTGACTTAAAAAAAATCAGACTGAAACACATGCTTCATTTCATGATAACATATCTTATTTTCTAAATCTGAAGAAGAATAAAATCTCTCAATATTTAATGTTCACTTATCCTAATGGAATTATTTACAGGTACAGAACTAAATGTACACAGAGCTGCTTGCAAAATTCGAGTCTTGTTTGAAAGGTAAAACCAGATTTGAACGTGTTTATATTTTTAGAATCTTGTGAGGGCTGTACCAGTTGAAGCCTGTTTAGGCCTCCTAAAATAAATGAAAACTAGCAAGAGGGCACAGGAACCAATGCCACGCTGCAGGAACACAGCAGGGGAGCACACTGACATCAAGATTGCTCCCTGACCTGCGCTCTGGATCCACACTGTGACCATGTTCACCTGAGACTTGGCTGCCTATAAATCTAGTGCTGTCTCAGGGCACGTCATCCGGTGGGAGGGGATCCATGACTGACTTTGCCTGATAACAGCCTCTGGCACCATCACACGGGTCAAAGGAATAAGTAATAGCGGATTCTGGTGACAGTTTGCACGCCTATCCCTAATGCCAGAGGATCATGCCTAAGCTCTCTGTAGCTTCTTTCTGCAGAGACAAGTCACAGAATTTATTCAAAGCCTATGCTCAAATGTATCCATATGATATGAACTCAACCAAACTTAGATAGGCTCAGATCTATCCCTCACAAACAGGTGAAAACAGAGCTGCTTCTCTCCAGGCTACATATACAAAGTTGAAAAATACATTTCCTCTTACAATTCTGATCCTAGCTAAACTTTTCTTTTTTCCCCTATTATCCACATTTCAGAGAACTTGTGAGCACTCCACATTTTCTGGATGCCATTTAATTCCATAAGCGTAAGAAATACTTCCTTATACACTGATAACTAATTTCAGATTTTGAGCATACATTTCTACAAAAACATGTCAATTCCACATTTGCCAATGCCATAAATTTAATATATGAGATGCAGTAACCATAGTTATAAAGAAAAATTAACCCACAGCTAATTAAAATAGGCATTTCAAAGTAACTGGGATCATAAAAAAATAAAACCACTGTGTTTTACCTGAAAGTAGTTTTCCTGGTAGCTCCATTTTATAAAAGTTAATAACAGACTTACAAATTTGTATTCTAACTTGAGAGCTTGGCACTCTCATCAAATAACCTGTCAGAAACAGAAAAAAAATTGTAATTTACAAGCATTATAGCAGTATTCTTCATACTTCTCTTTACATTTCCTTTAGTTATACCCCTTACAAATCTGTATATATAAAAAATACAAATTTTGATTATAAAATATTGAAGGGATAGAGACTCCCACACTGAAGAGGACAAAGGGGTCTTGGAGAAGTAGCATAAGTTTAATCAAAAAGTTATCTTCTCTGCTTTATGGCTACAGATGCTTATGAGACACTGGACGTTATTCCAGAAGTTGTGGAATTCTAAAGAAAGCTACTACACTAAGCTGTTGTCATCGCTGCCATGTCAGAAACTCTGCTTCTAGCAGCTATGAAATCAAGAGAGCACAGAAAGAGATCTTTTTCCACAAGATAAAGAGAATTTCATTGGCAGTTACCAGTGCCTAGTATGGACAATGTAAACAATCTTTCAGATTTTAGTGTTTTTTTGGACATGTAACTCTGAAGAGAACCTCTATCTGAAACCAGGTGGTTATTCTGCTTTCTACCTGAATCTGTGAAAATAAAAACTTCTAAAAGTATTTTTTTACCTATTGGAAGGATAATTTTGTTTTTCATGTATGATAGGCTGATTGTGCTACCTTTCTACCATTTAAATCTCACTGTTAAGTGAGCTGATATATCACTCCTGCTCTATCCTGAATCCTTTCTGACCTACAGTGCTTACAGTATTTTTTTTTTTTAAATCACAAATGTGACACATAAAAAGATGTAAAAGGGTCGTAAAAAGATATTTTGGTATTAAGAGGTCCAGTGACACTAAAATATGACTTTGACACCTTTTCCTTAACAGCACTCTTAAAACATATTTCTGAAACATAAAAGCTCATGGCTCATATGCAGCAGGAGGCTGAAGCCAGAAACTACTACTCCTAATAAGGCATGGCATTAAACTGCCTTGCATTTTGCCTTTGTAGGTGACAGGTCTCAGGCTTTTGGGTTTTGAAGGTTTGAGCTGGGAGTCAGAAGTGACTGTTTCTCACTTGTGTCTTCCACTTGATGTCAAAGAAGCAGGAAGGACACATGTTCCTCTTATCATAGGTTTCAGTGTTTATAGTAAAACACCAGTTTCTCAGATCAAAATGAAATGAAAGAGGCTATATACAGGTTTAGTTTTGCAGCTGTACTGATAAACTTATCTCACATAGCTTTTGACAGTGGCAAATAGGTAATTCTGCTAGCTAATCTTCAGGTTAGCTGCACAGCAAAGTGAGAATGGTTTCTAACTAAAAAGCAGAGAGGACTGAATGAATAATTAAAAGAAATTACCTACATTTAGTAAGAAGGTAACAAGAAATTAAAATCACGCTAATAATACCATTGACTTTATTGTGGCATATCAGGTTCCACTCACCCAGTTGGGCAATGGATTTTGAAACTGCAGTGGAATATTTTACTTCATCAGATGATTTCTTTTTTTGAAATGGTAACCTGCAAAATGAAATTTAAAAATATTACAACTATGTTTTTATCTAGTCACAAGAAAAGCTCAACAGTTTTTTTTCTTCTTCCTTGATAATTTTTGCAAATAAGGACAATGAACAAATTCTCTGCAATGCTGATTCTTCACTGAATGTTCCAGGTTCATAATCTGGCAATTACATGTTGGCAATTAGTACTGCATGTCCACAGGTAATATTTTCATAATTCATATATACTGCAACAAGAAATGCTGAATAAACAGATGTCATCTAAATGGGGAAGACTAAATCCTGGAAGCTAGGCACTATCAGGCTATTGCAGAGCTAGGTTATGCACACACATGTGCAAAGGTGGAAAAAACCGGATCACCTCCCTGGGCAAGACTTCTTGAAATGGATAAAAGTAAAACTAATAAACTGACTCCAAATAGCCCCAAAACAAATTTATTTTTAAAAAACAGGATATTAAGAAATATTCAATGACATTTTCAAAACACTCAGATATGACATAAACATGCAAGTGCTAAAAATTGCCTAACAGTAAACATTGCAATATTATGCTGAGGTCTCTGCACCACACACTGTAGAAGCAGCTTTCCGGTAGGTTTACCTCTGCAAACACTGCCAGAGAAAAAGAAAGGAAAGAGCAAATAATGGAAGAAATGTAGCAGGAGGTGGGGGAGGGAAAAGCGGACACTGGAAAAAAAAGTGGAAAGAAGACTGGTAAACAGAGGCAGTTTTGAAAGAGTGGAATATTTTACTACAGGAGTTCATGTATCTGAAATGAAACTGTGAAAAACAGTCTCTGCCTCTAGTTATAGACTTCTCTGTCATATGAAGTAGCAGTGAATTGTGGTGGAATTTCCACAGTACAGAAATTAAAGAAAAACCCAAGGGTGCAGTTTTCCAAAATATATTCATTGCAGAAACCACAATTATTGCTGAACTGCTCTAACAGACGAAAAGTCTCACAGCTACATTTTATTGACTTCATACACTCATTCTCAGTTTTGTCATGCTTCTACCAAATGCCGAAGAAAATGAAACTCTGTGATGTACCTTCTCATTCTCCACTGTGTGGTAGCAAAGAAAAGCTGTACCACTGATGGTGCTCTAGGGAACTAAAAGATTCAGTTGATAAGTTCTATGTTTATTAAAACTAACAGCCAAGAGGAAGCCATGTATTTGAATATCTGCCACTAATTTTCTCTCTGATGGGGGCTTTTTATCCTTATTCTCCTCAATTGTAATTAAATGCAGAAGTAACTGTAGTTACAAGCATACCATAAGTAATTTTACTGAATTATTGAGGAGGAGGAAACTACTGACAAGTGCGGGTAATACCTAAATTCTATTCTCCAGATTATTTAAGGTACAGTGTGACAATGAAGATGCCCAAAACTTCATGCAATACATTTTTAAAGTAAATACAAATCCTACATCCTCCAGTTGCTGTGGTTCATACTCTTCTGCAATATGGTTTGTCATTTTGTAAAACTTACCTTCAGGTATTACATTGTCTTTGTGTCACCCTAGGTCATAAACTCACTTATGGAGCTTGTCTGAAACAGCAAAACATACCTCAGCACTACTTAGATGGTGAATCTTCTGAGGTCAGCAGTCCCAGAATGACTTAGGCAATAAGACACATTCAATAAGTTTTGAATGATGTAATAACAAGCTCCACAGACACTGAACTGCTAAACTGGGTCCCTCCTTCATGACAAGAGAAATCTGACACATGGAAAACACAGTTCATAACAAGGAAAGGTGACATAAAGGATACCTTGCAGATACAGGTGTTTGTAGATAGATGCTGTATGGATATGTCAGTTGCCTTAGAAAATGTAAAAACATGTTAATAAGCAGTGTTTAGATCTCTAGAAGAGGGGCTGAAATACTTACCCAAATAATTTAATAAGTTCACATAAAGGCTCAGTGAAAGTTTCTTGTTCCTTAATTTTTTCTGAACACAGGTTAAGAATTTTGATGATTTGTTCTAAATCCTTAAGGGGCTTTTAATGTAAAATTAAGGAAATCAGACTGTCTGTACTGCTATGAATCAGAAGAAAAAGTTCAAAACTGTATTCATGATAACTTCAGTGACATGACCAAGAAAAAACAAGATCAATGCTTTCAAAGTTAGATTTCTAAAAGAAGCATGTGAGTCAATACCGAGGCTTTTTGAAGCAGCCCTCCTTTTACAGAAGTACAACTTTTGCAAATCTGATTTAGGTGTCTTAGCTGAACTCACTGGAAGCTCAGCACTAAATTTCTAAAACTGTAGGGTGAAAAGTTTTTACATCACAGTATCAGATTTACCTATCTAAATTCTGAGACAGCCTTGTGGTATTTAAATTGTTTTCTACTCTAGTACCAAGCGACTAAGTGAAGTTTGAAAATCTGGACCCAAAAACATACTATCTAATTTAGGGTAGAGGCACAAAATCAAAACTGAACAGATAACTGAGACTGAGAAACTACTACTAACCCACTGACTCATAGAAACTGCCTGTAACTACTTTGCCACAACTCAATTATGAAATAATGGGATAGCTCAAATCACTGTGCAATTAGCTGAACTGTATGAAATTAATCACATTTTTCCATATGACCACACCCTCCCTAGTACTTCTGAATATTCCATTTGTACTGTAAACATGAAAAAAAGTTTCAGATAAATTAGTCTGACTTCAATTTTTAAAAAAAATGTCTCCTTACTGGAAGCCATTGCTACTTTATCTGTTGCCTCTTAAGTAGCGATAATTACTATGCTTGTCTATTCTGATTGTAAAGTACACCAATTACATTTTCAACCACTGTACAGGTGAGATCCCTCTATTGAATTTTGTGGCATATGAATCTATTATTCAAGATTCTTGCCATCCTACCAACCCTGGCTGTGAGTGCACAACGAGGCCAAAGATGAGGATGTATGTGAACCATCCCTGCTCTCCAGGCTTTGCAGAGAAGTCAGAGTATTACCACATATAAAACACCATGACTTTAGAATTCTTCAGTGGCAAAAAGGATACAATCCCGTTTTCAAAATGCTTGACTACCTTCTTGAGAGTTTTCAGCTGCTCTTTTTCCAAATCTTTCTTAAGTAAAAGAATGAAAAGCAGGTTTTAATTGCAGTTTGCCTTGGAACATTAAACAATTATGTTTATCCCCTTTAAATGAAGGTGGAAACCAAATTAAAAAAATCACAAGACACAATGAAATTCTGAAAGTACTTTGCAGCAGAATTAACTCCTTGATCAAGTTTCATTTCTAAGTATGAAATCTGTTCTCTTGTAACTGAAGAGGCTTTTAAAAACTCTTGTTCAAATGTGTAGGCTCTTTCTTTTAAATTCTTTGGGATTCTGTGTAAAGCAACTGAGAAAACCAAACCTATGTAACTCATGACAGAAATGTGTACACATATAGCTCTAACTGGCTTTGTTCTGTGCCACTAGGAAACAGCATTCAAATTCAAAGCTGAAAACAGCTGAAGTGAGGGTGTGTCAGGGTGTGCCAGGGATGTGCAGTGTTCATTCCAGTGCTTCTGAGCACCTGCAGTTTGAGGCAGGCCAGGAATTTGTTTCAGGAATCTACAAGCCCAGAATCATATAGCATTTTATCATATGGCGTTTTATCATATATCTTATGCTCTCTACAAAAGCAGTAAACAGTATCACCCAACACATTTTTCTGCAGTCAGTAAGTTTATTCCATCAGCTCCGCATCAAAAAAAGGGAGGGGAAAGACATGAACTACTTATCTGTCAGGCATTAACTTAAAATGTACTATGTTTAATCAAGTTCTTGCTTTAAGAATATGAATTATTTTTATTTTGGATCAAAATTAACTTTGGTAAATTTGTGGAGACCAAAAATAGTCTGTGGAAGCCCATGAGGTGTTGCTTTCCTGTGTGTCTAGGTAGTCATATTTTTTTCTTCAACACTGAACTTTGTATATTTCTCCTATATCACCTCCCTGGAGAATTGTTTGCAGTTAACTTGGGAAATTACATAAATTCTTTACATACTTCCTATAAGGTTGTATGTATTTCTGTTTCTCAGCTGTAGGTTTTAGTACTCTATAAACTTCTCGAGATAGAAATTTTGCATGTCTAGTTTTTAAATGCACATGTGTCTTTTTTTTTTTTTTTTTTAAGTGCCTGTATAAAATCATACTGGATTTTATTTCTCCCTATATATATGTGTACGTTTTAATGTAAACCCAGAATTTATACTATTTTCTATTACAATGACCATCTTTAGAAGTGTTCAAATACTGGAACAAATACTCAGCTTTGTGCTCTGTAGCTTCAGCCACCTGCGCTGCATATAATAAACCCACTTGGATTTATTTAGTGCAGGTGCTAAAGTAACTGTTACAAAACATTTGTCTTTGCCCCATTACTACCTGTCACTGAGATAATGAGGTATCAGCGTTACTTACTGAGTCCGAACCTTCAAGTAGTTTGATGACGTGATCCAAATCCACTGATCTTAACTGTGTATCCTGAAAAAGACACTTTAAACTTTTTCTTTGTTTGTTTTGTTTTTTTGTTGATTTTTTTTGTTTGGTTGATTTTTTTTGTTTGGTTGGTTTTTTTGAGATTTATATTTAAAGGTGCTTAAACCTTAAAACGCGAAAGAGCCGCGTTGAACCAACACGAATCTACCCAGGGATGGGTAGATCCAGGCTGTGTGCGGAGCACAGACCAGGGCTTGTTCTCAAGCCCGGCGAAGTAGCCTGGCCTGGCCAAGGCAAGGCAAGGCAAGGCAAGGCAGGGCAAGGCAGGGCAAGGCAGGGCACGGTAGGGCAGGGCAGGGCAGGGCAGGGCAGGGGTGACCCTGCCCAAGGGAGAGCTCACCTGGGCGGTGTCCGAGGCGTTCCTGTGGCGCTCCCCGCCGCTGCGCGGGGGCCCGGTGCCGGGGGAGCGGGGGGCGGCCCGCGGGGCAGGGGGCTCGGCCGCGGCCAGGTAGGACATGGTGCCGCCCGGCCGCGGCGCCAGCGCGGCCCGCGCCGTTGCCATGGCAGCGGGCGCGGTGCCGCCTCACGCAGCCGGGGCCCGGCCCGCCGGGGCCGCAGTCCCGGGGCGCGGCAGCGGCTGCTCAGCCGGCCCGTGGGACCGCCGCGGTGTCGGGAGCTTCCCAGTGGAAGGGAGCTAGGAGGGAGAGCCTGGTCGATCCGTACCGTCTAACCATGAGAAAACCCACCATGAGAGACCACCAGGACAAACCCAGGCGGGACTGTCCTGCCTGGGGTTTGTCCTGGTGGTCTCTCATGGTGGTCTCTCATGGTAGCCTGGCTGCGGGGAAGATGGGGAAAGGAACCTTTTCTCTGCATGGACCAATACGAAAGAGTAATAAAGGCGGGGACAGAAGCATATGGGGATATGGATATGTTCCACAGCGAGCAGGTGTGGGAAGCTTAGTCGGCAGCCGGGATTCGTGGAGGACACACCTCTTACGGTCCTCACTTGATAACAGGATTTGGATACACTTTGGACAAACTGCACATACATAACTTTGAACATGAACATATCCGAAGTCTTCCACTGCAGGCACTGTTGTTACCAATCTCAGTTTTCATTAACAAATAATTACTCTGATTCCAAAGAAACATTTGAATATGTGAATGAATTTATTAAATTATATTATATTAAATGCTATATTATTATTAAATGCTTATACTAAATGCTAAGATGGGTGTTTGAATCTCCGGACAGCTTTTATATGAAAAGAATTGATTGATAACAGAAACAAGGAAGAAACCTTTATGGTTCTGACTGTAACCAACACAGTTCTTAGTTTCATTCTTAGTTACATTCTACACCCCTCCCATTTCCTACCTGCCTTCTTCAGAAATGATGCATATCATGTTTAAAACTCCCATATATTATAGAGCTCTCTTTCCATCAAAGGGAAAATACACAATACCACATATTTTGTATTTGTATATGCACGCAAATATCCATCCACTCTCTGTATTTAGCAAAAATTCATTCTGTATGCAACTCCAAAATGACAGCAAAAATATAGCCTAGCATAGTACGGGATTCTAATTTAGAGAATGCTATGCCTCCTTTGACATCCATAACATCCCAAGTTGCGATCATAGGAACACAGGTCATACAAAGGTAGGACCTGTAGGACATTATGTAGTGCCTTCACCTGATGTGACAGTTCATCTGCCAGTCCTGGAGCTGGTGTTTGACACTTTTCCATCCATCCATGTACACATACCTCTCCATTACTCTAACCATTTCACTGGCCCTTCCATGTTCTAATTAACCATTTGTTTCTGCAAACATTCTGTTTTGTATCTGGGCTTACACTGGATGGAACAAGATTTTCTGTTAAGCATCTGAGATTAATTGTACTGACAATGCTTATATGTCTGCAGGCAGTTAACACTGAACAAACCAGATTATGTATTTTTTTTTTTGCTTGGTGCCTAGATAGTAACTGAAGTTGTATAAGCTGAAGTTTTTAAGTTTATTAAAAGAAAGAAGCACTAACATTTATTTTCATTGTAGCTTAAGTGATTTGAAGTTTTGTTGCTTGTGTTTTGAATGACAAATATATAGAGAACATACATAAACTGGGCGACTTAGTCTGTAAATTATAAGCTTAGGTCACATGCCATTTGTTGGTTCACTGTTCCAAAGATCATATTGCAAAGCTGCATTTGTTCACTGTTCACCTTCTTCAAAATTAAGCTTTTAAAACTTGGGATGAAAGCTACATGTGCAACTTTGACTACTGTGATTCTGCTGCCCTTGGCAAATGGCAAATGTCCATCCTCAAAAGCCTGCAATCAACTGTGAAAATATTTACTTAACAGTTTTCTGTCCCAATTAGGCTTATATTGTACTTTTATCACATCTACCTCTTCCATTGGTAACAGATAATATTTGAGACACCAAGGCCTTACTTCTGAGAGTATTGAATTTTAAGTCTTAAAAATGCTAAGAAATATGTTTAAAAAGTAAACAATGTAGAGAGGATTTTTGTTTTGATTGAGGATAATTATTTTGGTGTAAAGACACAGTTCAGCAGACTCTGCTCTTGAGGTAAACTTGAACTCCATAAAACCATAAGACTGTGTGTGTAGGACACGGCTGTGTGTTAGAAGATCAAAATGCCAAATCTAGGTCTGCCATTAATCTCCTGTTGACTTTGCTGAATGAATTACTTCCTCTACCCCTCTGAATTTGCGGTCTTAACAAATCATGTTGCAAGCTTTTGAAGGACTATTAATCAGTACAGGATACACCTTTCATATGCTGCATTGGGGGTCTTCAGATCTAGTCAAGTGATATCCTTTCCCTGGCTGTATTGAACCTGTAGACTCTGTCCAAAGCCACCTGCACTATTTATCAAATATGACACTGAGGTCTTTATGGTACACAAACCAGAATATTTTTAAGAATTAGTCTGTTGACTCCTTGACTTCTTTTTTATTCTTCTTTCTTTTTTTCCCCCTGGTCTGTTCTGCCAGACCTCTTGTGTTTGATATTCACAGAAAAAAGAAGACCTGTGAGGTGGCTGGCAGTAGACTCACCCTTAAACTGTAAAGTCAACAGAGCTTCCAACATCTGAATTTACCTGCCTATACTATTAAAGTACACTGTTCAGGTCATTGGGTGGTATGGATTTGAGGGGGACTTTCACTCTGATTGTTATTGTAAGGAAATGCAGTAAGTCACAAGAGACAGAACTTACACTTTTGTACAAGGTACGGCTGGGCAAAGGTGTAAGTCTGGGGTCCCAGATGCTGGTGTAGTATCAACATTCAGTAGAACAAGCACTGAGATACAGAGATGTACAAACTTGTTAAATATTCTGAATTTTAAAAATACCTACATTCCATCTGGGAATCTGGCAAGGCTATGCAACCTAATGTGAAAGCAGTGCAAATGCTGCCAGCTCCACTAACTCATGCATTTTTACTTCTCTGAACTCAGAACAGTTTATCCTGCTGATCTATACCTGAGCAGGATTTTACCTCTCATGTATTGTTTTCCTTTTTGCTCTTACAGTGGCATAAGTCTCTTAAGGAAAAGAGCTATGTATTTCCAAATGAAGGACTCCAAAGTGCTTCACCTGTTTGTCTCATTTAAAGAGTACTGCTTTCTCATATACACAACCAGACACACCTGGCAAACTACTTGAGCCTAGCAGTCTCACCATGGTCAAACTTTTTGCTTGTTGAATGAAAAGTGGATTGAATATATGCTGATAGTACTGTAGTATTCACTTGTGTGTTCTGAAAATATGGAGGATATCTCACAGTAGGATATGGAATAGAGCTATCCAGTGTGTCTGTGTGAAAAATCTGTTATCCAGCTAGTGGAAAAAAAATAAATTCCCTCTTAGAATATTTTTAAGAACTCGTATTCAAGTTTTATCTCTCAAAGAAAATGTTCATCAGAGCACCCATGTATTAGAAAGAAACACAAGCTAAAAACTACTATGCATAAGCACAGAAGAGAAAGCAAAATACCTTACATTGATTTTTATTGATTTTTGTGTAAAACACAGTCTGTGGAAAAATAGATAAGAGCATTACTAATAATTTATAATAGCCCTGTTCAGAGAGACAGCACAAACAGTCTGACAAACACAACTACAAAGAGAATATTACACATGGGAGACATATTATGCTCACTGTAAGACACTGCCAGCAAGGCATGAGAAACAATATATAATAATAGAGATCATTTTTCAAGTCAGTTCAATTTGTCACTTATTTTAAAGGTTATAGTCTAATTAATTAAAGCAGTATCATATAACAATACAATATCAGTACTGCAACATTACTCATTATATTGATAGAAGATACTACAGGATGAACAGCCAAGAAATCAAAACCTTATGTATTAGGAGATGCACTGTCTGAAGGAGTTATGCATGTGCATCCACTACAACTACACATGAAAATATTATACTGAAAAAATATATCTAATTTTTATGCACCTGATATATATAACTTTGAAAAGAAAGCTGTTTCCTAACTATATTCATACCTGTGAAATTTATAGCCACTTGGGAACTCATTTCCTTATATTAATCAATAATTTCCTTTAGTGCTGGTTGGGCAGCTAATACCATATAGACGCAAACATACAGACACACAATTAATTAATGCCAAATAAAAATATGAATGTATTTTCTCATGTTGGCACATCATATAGTTCACAGTGTTGGAACAGAAAGTTAAATGTGGCACCAATTCACAGTAACCATTACCACAATTGAGAGAACTTGCAAAACAATTACAAAATAATTAATCTCTAAATAATTCAGGAACATGGGCACTTAATTAACTTGTACATAGTTGCCACAGTTAACAGAATTGTAAGATAAAATTAAAGACACATGGAACTTATAATAGAACTCTACTTTAGACAATGTTAAGAAAGATTACCTTAATATTCATAGGATACAAATAACCTGTTGCTAGAGGTCTCCATTTTATAACATGATGTGTACAGTTTTGTATCACATATTAAGCACTACGTTTTTAACTGTACAGTAATAAACAGAAATAAAACTTATTTCATTACTTATTTTTCCTTAGGCAGTTAAGCAACTTATATAAAGCTACACAAAAATATTTTTCTAGCTGGCTATTCCTCAAAATATGTATTTATTCTCCAAGGTAACCAGGATGTCTACATTAATTTAGTTGTTTATATTTAGGCAGTTGACACTAAACTATTAGTTTCAGGTCTTTTTCCAGTGAGAAGTCCTAAGGTGAGTTCTTCTATAGAGATCAATGTGTTTGGTCACATGAATAAAGATCCCTTATGTGACTAAACATAAGCATGATACAACGTGTGGTAAATGCGTGAGCGTCATTTCACCTTCAGACTTAAAAATGTCTTGTTAAAGTGAATTGGTCCTTAAAGAACATTACAAAATATTAAATCACAAGTCAACATGATATTCCAGTTAGAAGTAAATACATGGCCTAACAGGAAACCATATATAATTTTTGTAGCACAAATATTTCACAAAATGTCTTCATATATTTGATCTAAAAATATTATCTATTTATTAATACTTAAATATTTCAACCTTTCAAGTAACATATAAAATTAAAACACATTTTTAATTTTCTACACAAAGTTTGAAAAAAGGAATGACATATCATTATTCTCTCCAGACACCTTTGGCAGTTTAAAATTTAACAGTTTAAACATTCTCAAATAAATTTAATGAGGAAATAACTTTTTGCATAGGAAAGAGGGCCAATACATTTCTGTATATACTGTCAGTGGTTGCATTACAGTACAATGTATATGGACTTTAACAGTAATTTTCTGCAACATTATCAGTATTGCACCAAAATAATTAGATAAGTGTAGGGAACATTACTACACTACTACACATTCTACAGAAGTGTAAAGTTACTATAAAATAAGAGCAGCATATTTAATTTTGAAATGTAGTTAGATTGTTAATGGTAATAGTTTCTGCCCTAAATCTGTTCAGAGGTACAAAATTCTGCTCTCAGTTATCCCATTCTAGAGATTTTGATCAGGTTTCATGCACAGGACTGGGGTAGAATGTAGCATGGTATTTATCCCATTAAAATTCTCCAAGACTTTGTGTATTCTAAGATTTTTAAAATTAACTTTCTTTACAAGATCAAAGCACAATGCCTCAACTTTGTGTGGTTTTGCTCTGCAATATAGGAGTAGGAAATAGTCCAGGAACTCTAATCCTGCAAGCCTTTCAAGAAATAGACAGGTTTTGGTACTGGAATGTATTTATAGACAAAGTAAGTTAGAAATTGTAATTGTCACTTGTTCTTCATTTTTATGTGAAAATCTCATTTGTACTAGATTAGGCTCTCATCTGTCTTCAGCAATGACAGGTTTTTCACTTAATGTCTAGGATGTCTGATAAAATAGTATTTTACTTGTGTATCACCAAAGTATCACTGAAATAGCTGCATATTGGAGGAGAAACAATAAAATAAGTACCCTGAAACAAACTGATTTGGTTTTGGAAAAAATAAAGAATGCAAACATTCCTTATTTATTTGATAGCTTTAATAAACTTTTTTTCTTTTTCTTTATTTTTCTAAAAAAAAAAAAAAAAAAGGGGGAACTTTCAAATTTCTAAAAAGGTTTAATAAATTTTTGGAGGACATACTTATGAAGGCAGCATCTATCTCAAATAACTCCTAAATTATTGATTTCCAAGAGGCTGAGAGGTTATGTCAGGAAAAAAAGGTCACTGGACACGTGCTTTCTTTTTGGAAGCATCTGCCACTTGTCAGCTATTGGAGACAAGTCTCAAAGACCTTAACCTGACCAATTATAGCTGTTATTATTATATTACTTTTCAAAAAATGGTGAAATAGCATAACTTTTTCCTTCCAATTGATTCCATCCCCAAAGCTTATAAAGGAGGATAAATCTGAGATTTCCAACTACTTGAAATTGAAAATATGTTAACTGAAAAAGGTATTAAATTTCTGTTGACACATGTAACATATAGTTGATTTTTTATCAAAAAAAAAAATGTTTTCACAAACCTCCATTTCCAAAAAGAATTTACTGACCTCTCATTTGATACAAAACCTGTTTAAAGACATATACAAATGCTTTAATTCTGGAAAAAAAGAATGCAAATAATTTAGTTTTCACCTCTAAATTTGAACATGCTTAAAATAAAAGATTATTTCACTGTCTCTCAATTTGCAGCAAGTATATAGAATATACACAGGCTTGATGTGCAAGTTTGGGTAATTGGGACACTAGAATGAAAATAAAATTGTTGCAGATATTTTGAATTTGAAATGAAATTAAGAACAACTGACATGAACTCTTTAGCTTTAGGTTGGTGTAACTGGGGGCAGAGTTTGATTCTAGAATATTCTTTTTCTGTGCAGCTTTTGGTTTCTCTACAAGCAGAGACAATGAGATTACAGGACTAGTGATGTTTAAGGATAAATTCAAGCTTAAGTACTGTATATTTCTTATGTATGATATAGATTATGACAAATTCTTCCAGAGTAATAAATAATAAACGCTCATCTAAGAAAATCAGAGATCTTAAGCAGTGCAAATATAGATAAGAAAAATAGACTTACATACAAGTAAAGAAAATTAGGACTAAATACACATTCTGATTCACTGAAATAAAAGTTTTGCCAATTAAGCAGGAGTAGCCTGAAGGTATGAGTTGAGCTTGGCTATTTTGTCAGAGAAGAGTAATTACTACTGACAGCAGCAGTAATAAATAATTGTGAATGTTGTTTAGAATCCATCAGGAAATGCAAATGCCAAGTTTTAGAGATAAACTAATTTTTAAGTATAATAATAATAATTTTATTTCTCAAAACTTCAGGCATATTCCAGAGACACTCATTGTAAAAGTTAGACCTTTATATAAAAATAGAACATTGGATTTGCACAAAAAGATACTAAGAATTTAAGACACACGCTGGGAAATTCATATGTAATAACAAACTCCAGTGTAGACACATACAGAACATGAGTATTGTGATGCTTCCAACATATTGGAAGTTTCACAGTGAAAATAAATATTTATTGTTGCTGAATTCGCAGCTTTTGTTTTTGTTTTAAAATATTACCTGATATTTCAAACTCATTCAAAAATCAAAAACTAGTTACTTGCACACATCTTTCTAATTATTGTATAGCACGTTTGAGTCTTTATTATGTAATGCTTGTAAATAAAGAAATGCCAAAGGTCTAAAATACTATGTAATATTTTGAAAATAAATGACCATGCTAGTACAATACTATTTGCTTACAAGATGTACAACCACACTATAATGGAAACTAGGTTTGCATATTAAAATCACAGAATGGTGTAAAACCACACAGAAACAAATAAACTGTACATGTGCAATACACTTGACCAAGTGCAAGCTGCTGCACCTGGGTTAGGATAACCCCTGGTATCCATAGAGCCCAGGGGATGGAGGAATCGACAGCACCCCTGCTGAGGACTTCGGGAGTGTTGATGGATGAGAGGCTGGACATGAGCTGGCAATGTGTGCTGACAGCCCAGAAAGCCAGCTGTATCCTGGGCTGCACAAAAAATAGTATGGCCAGTAGGGCAAGGGAGCTGATTTCTGTCCCTCTATAGACACCACCTGCAAAGCTGCATCCAGCTCTGGGGTCCCTGGCATGGGAAGGACAAGGACCTACTGGAGTGAGTTGCTTAGAGGGATGGAGCACCTCTCCTATGAGGAAAGGCTAAAAGAATTGGGATTGTTCAGCCTGGAAAAGGAAGGGCTTAGGGGTGACCTTATAGCAGCCTTCCAGTACCTGAAGGGAGCCTTCAAGAAAGCTGGAGAGGGCAGTGGCATGCTGTGATAGGACAAGGGGGAATGGATTCAAACTGAATGAGAGTAGGTTTAGCTCAATTAGGAGGAAATGCCTCACTGTGAGGATGGTGAGACACTGGAACAGGTTGCCCAGGGAGGCTGTGGATGCCCCATCCCTGGCAGTGTTCAAGGCCAAGTTGGAAGGGGCTTTGAGCAACCTGGTCTATTGGAAGGTGTCCCTGCCCATGGCAGGGAGGTTGGAACGAGATGATCTTTAAGGTCCCTTCCAACTCAAACTGTTCTGTGATTACATAATTCTGTGATCACTACAAATTAATTTGTTGCAAAACATGATTATGTCCTAAATTATTTATTAGTCTATATTCTGAACTCAGTAACAGAAGTGTGGTTTTACTAAAAGAAATACTGCCCAGAAAATGTGGTATTAATCAGCATCCCTCTGACACACATGCTTTAAGTCAAAGAAGTATCTGAAAAGCATAGTTATAATAAAATACTGTTATGATTTAACTGTGGAAAAGAACATTAAAAATTTTTTTTTATTTCATAATAATCTGCTCTCTGTAATTCAAAACAAAAATATTTTTGTAGTTATCAGAAGTATTAGTCATCTAGTTATAAACTTCTCATAGTTTGGTAGTATCGCAGTTTCTACCATATACCAAACAAGTGACTTTACTCCTACTTAACTAAACTCCTAAAAATACAAGTTTATGACAAAAAAAACCCAGGTGTACAACACATAATAATCACAAAAATAATCACATTACAGTTATCCTTTCTGGGGAGAGATGTGGAACAGACCCACTTACTTCTTCTATAACATGGCTTTTCTCCCATCCTCTTCGAATTCTTCTCAGTTTCCTACTTACACATGGCAAAAGTAAAATGATCTTACCTAGAATTACAACAGAAGGCAGAACAAGGGCAAGAACAAAATTCGGTGGTGTATAAAATCTGTAATACTCTTCTTCAAAAGCTCTTTTCCATCCGTAAATCAATACATGGAAAGTACTTATAAGCAGAGCAACGTATCCAAGTGTTGACTTTGAAAAAAAAACAAGAAAAAAAGAGAGACATAATAGTACTTGGTCCTTCATCCGACAGCTCTAACTCATTATTTTAACATTTATTAGACATCATGTTAAATTCTCTTACCTATTCACTCTATTAAATTAGCAATATGTGGTTATAAGTTCACATGTTCTGAAAATCACAGACTGAACTGAGCACTGATTTACAGTGTATCTCTGCTAACATCTATTGGCTTTTCAGTCAAAACTGAAATGATGTCTGCCCAAATCCTAAGTAATGGAACTCAACTTCAGGATACGTATGCAAATAAGGAACAACTCCAGTGTAGTTACTGGAACAACAGCCATTGTGATTGGAAATTAAGTTTCCTGTTTCTCAACTATGAGAATAGATCACTTCCAAAATGCCTTATTAGGGAACAATGCAATTCTGCTGGAAGGGATTTGGGCCTAACACTGCAGATTTTTATCACTCTGAGATGTGCAGCTTACTTCTTCCTTACAGAGGCTTGAATCCACTTGCCTGACATTAGCACAAACCAAGCCTTACTTTTCTCCATCAGCTGTTGCCAACTGGTTAATGGGAATATCTGAACTGCAGGGCTTGGGCTTAACAGCACAAAACAGTGATGCAGTTTATCATAAACAGGCAGTGCTGGATGAAAGGTAAAGTAGAAGGTTCCCACAGCACCCTGCAGAGGATCTCTTATCATGGAATCTAGAGCATGCCACAGAAGGGGGTGACAATAGGGGTCACTCACCATTTCTGGGAATCTGCCTCTTTAAGGACCCTGTAGTTGCAATGCTCTGAAGACTTGACAATTATTAAATTGTCAAATTTCAATTAAATACTTATTAACGTATTAACGTTAACTTTCCCAAACCATGATTAAAAAAAGACAACTTATGCTTTGACTTTTGGTGGTGATCAAATGAAGAAAAATTCTTTTTGGCCCAAACTGATGTAATGACTAACTTGGTTGGGAAACATTTGTAGAAAAGTATTGAAACTGAAAAAGTATTACAAAAGGTAAGTGGCTACCAGTAAATGGAGAGACAAAAAAAAAATAATTACAGTCTATGGGTCTACAGTAGGCTAGTAAAAGAAACAATTCCATCTACTTCAAGATTAAGCAGTTTCTATGGAAAGGAGAATTTCTGAGCTAATTCTATTTGCAAGGATTCACAGATTTATATAATGGCATAAAAGGAAAATACTTTTGTTAATTTCTTGGAATTGGTACCATGTTCTTTGACTTGCCAATATTTATGCATCTGTTTTGCCAATTGTTTCAGGGCCTTGTTTTTAAGCTTTAGATATGCTGCACACCTTTTTTTTAAAAAGGAACAATTTGCTCCCAAAATATTCCATAGGAAACAGAACACTCAGAGAAACACTGGAGAACACATCCAGAAACAGAACACATTCAGAAAGACTGGATATGAAAACAGTATCTGCAGTATCTGGACGGAAGCTCTGGTAAGAAGATTGGACAGCAAACAATACTATCAAACCTGATCCTTTAATATGTTATTGCAGATTTTTGCTGGTATGACTGTCCTGAATTCATAGTTGTTATATCACCACCAACAGGGAGAAGGGCACAAGTGAATCATATCCCTCATTTCTTCATCAAGATTACTGATGAGAACTATAACAATTCTTGTAAAAGAAACAGAAGGGAACTCTTATACAGTCATTTCCTTTTTTTTTTTTTTTTTTTTTTAATTTTAGTGCTTATTTAAATTCAATTTCCAAGCTTCAGTTTTGAGACATCTATATAAGTCTTTCTATCTAATGGTAGAATGGAAGCTAAGAAGTACATCAATATATTTTGAACTAAAAACACAAGGACAAGAAAAACACATGATGCACCTTTATTAAGTTCTTTTTTTGCCCTGTGGCAGGCTTCTTTGAAGTGGTGGTAGGGTACGTGTTTGTGTGTACTGGACAATTTCAACCACACATCTAAAAATCTAACAAAGACATTCCTATAGCAGCTTCTGTCAGCTACAGATGCTATGTTCTTCTACCAGGCCCTTCTACCAGTGCCACTGGGCACTGGCAGGTAACTTTTTTAAGAGCAGAGGACTTCTGAAAGTAGCAAGAAGCAATACTTTTTATTCACTAGTAAATTCACCTTGGACAGAGAGCAGCAACATCAGTTGTAAATCTTGGGAACCCTCTGCCTAGGCTCTAGGACGGCTGCTGGGAAAAGGGGAAGACTATCTTTGGTTGCTTTGCTTCCTTATCTTCCATAATACTGTGTTTCCTGAAAGCTAAGTAAGAGCTTAGTACATTTCCTATGGACTCCCCAGCCATGTAGCTTTTCTCTAGGTCTTCCCTGGTTTGTTTCTTTTTCTTCTTGATCAGTCTTTTAACCAATATGGGAGATTCCCAGCCAGGACTACTGACAAACTGGGCAAACTGGCATTGTTTGGGAAAAGAACCAACAAAAGTTAGAGGAGCAGAAAAGATGAAAGAGAAAAATCCCTAAAATGTTATCAGAAAAATGTACATATAGAGAGACAATAATCTGCTGTGGGGCAAATCTTTTTCAGGAATTTCTACCTTCACAATGGTCGAATAGTTCCAAGTAATTTATATTTACGAAACATATTTTTAAAGTCTACATTTATGCAAGATATACTTTGGATTCCCCTAGTAACAGGATACTGCTAGAGTTATAAACCACTTGTAGCAAGTCTGAGTGGAATCTTACCCATAAACTTGCAAAATACTCAGGTTGCAATCTTCTTTACTCTGGGGAAGAAGTATCCTATTCTTGAGGCAGGGCAGCCCTTCCTCAAAGGGTATGCACAAGGAAAGTTTTAGTAATACTGTCTCCTAAACACTTTAGGATTGTGCTAGCAGAGAAAAGGAATGTCTACACAAAGGTCGGCTTGCTATTACACAAATGGTTGAGTTGTGCTGATTTTTGCTAAAAAACATAAAGCTCAGCTTTCCAAGTCTGCTCTGTCCACTGCCACTTTGAGTGATGGGTTTGACTTCAACTTTTAGACTGGAAAACAAAAGCAGCAGTCACATATGCTCACATTATATATTTACAGTTTAACTTCCCTCAGAAGACTGAAGGTCCAGTGCAGCACTTCTTGCAGACCACATTCTCCATTTTCTTGTATTTTATGTGACTGCTCAAGGACTGGTTTCAATAAATTCCTTTTTCTGTTTGCAGTGTGTTGGTTTAAGCTGTTTATTTTGCCTGCTCTGGCAAAATATGAATTCTTTTGTATTTCTTGTCCATGTCTACCTTTGTTCCTTATCCAAATATATTTAGAAGAAAAAAAGAAGAGTATTGAAGTGGCATTTAAGAAAACTAATGCGTTAGTTTATCAGCCCCAGCTTTCTTCCCTGCTGCTCTTCTCAGTAAGCTTCAATGCCTGCAAAGTTTCATGCCAAATTTCCATCATCTAGGATCTCCTACTGAGCAAACTCTTCATCACTGCCTAGTTTTGTGGCTCCTCTGTCTGGATGTTATGAGTGTTTCTCTCTGAATCATGATGAAGTGATCAGATCTTTGTTTGTACAGTAGCCAGCTCTCTCCTGCAGCAATTCCAGGTTTTCTGCTGGTCTCCTAGCTCCTTCTAGGACTGACAAATATGGGCTTTTTACGCTATTTTATGCTGGTTAGGCCTGCCTGTTGTAGATATTTGTATAAGGAAGGAAGGTAGCAGAAGGTGTGCCAGGGCCTGGAAAAGCCTCTGATTTTAATAAACTGTCTTCATGTTTTACTAATGGGTATTTTCAGCTAATGGAAATAATGCAGTTGAAAGCTGTGTCAAGTCCCACACAGTGGAAGGGAAGCAAAACTAAATTAATGACACCATGGCTGTCAGACAGCTGTGCAATAAAAATCCTGTAGGACAAATTAAGTCTTCAATTTTAACAATTGTGTGCATCTACATATCTCATCAGTAGTATCTCATCAGTATCACTACCTTTAGCTAAAGTTTGTCTAAATTTATCTGATTTGAATTTAGCAAGAAATTTTAACAATGGAAAAGGAATAGATGAGTGATCATTTGGTTTTAGCTATGTTAGTTATTTAAGACCAACAAGTGTAAAATGTAAAGTCCTATTCCAACATTTATGAAATGCTTAATGTGCCTTCATGGTAATATATTTGCTAACTAAGGATATGTTGTTTTTATTAAACTACCAGAGAGGAAAAAAAAAGCTCGTCACGTTGCAGTTTGCTTTTGTTTGTGATCGAGATCACAATTCTTATTAACAACAAACCGGCATTATTCAAAAAGTAACACACCTGAATAAAACTGAACTCCCTCCAGTTTAAGGCACTGTTTACTGAAGGGATGGAAGTTACTGCCAGCAGAGAAAGCAATCCAAGACTCATTATTCCAAAGGAAATATACATTTCAATTCTCCACACTTCTTCCTCATTCCAAGAATTTTCAACATTTGCATGAACCTGATGAAAAAGAAAAAAGGAAGAACTTCATTCTACAGAATATTAAAAATACCAACAGAAGTTATTTTGCTGATGTAAAGTCCACAGTCACAGGGCAACTATAAAATGGGGTCAAATACTTCAGAGATTTCCTCATGTCTTGGAGAAAAACAACTATTTCCTTACTGCTGGTACTGGTTCTTGCTAGATTAAAAATACATTAAACAAGGAAATTTAGATGAGATGTTAAACAAAAATGTAACATTATAAGCTATTTACAACAATTCTGTTATAAAATCAGGTAATTCTTCACATTCCTATGCACAGTAGAAAAGGAGATGTATTCTTCAAACTTAAATTCTGTAACACAAATTGGATAAATCTGCAATTTGTTTTTAGTTTGTTATATTTGGAAATAGTTTAACATAATTTCCCAATTTTGCTTTATCTCCCTAGTCCAAGCTAGTCTGTCTCCTTCACTACTGCCATCAGATACACAGAATATTCTGAGTTGAAAGGGATCCAAAAGCATCATCAAGTCCAACTCTTAAATGAATGGCTCATAGAGGGACTGAGCCCACAATCTTGGTGTTATTAGCATCAGGCTCTAACCAGCTGAGCTAGTCTCAGGGTTCTCACTGGAGAGCTTTACCAGGAAAAAGAAACAACTCAGGACCTTAACATTTAAGAAGTTTGGATATTAAATTATTTTCCACTTTCAGGAGAACACACTTTGAAAGAGGTTCACTAGCAATATTAGCAAGTGAGAGTTTTACAATATCATTAAAAGTAAGATAATTTCTTTTAAAGTATCAGTGGATCCTTTAGTGTTACTAAGTCTAAGTGTAAAGAACAATAGTTTCTTGCTGTCTTCCATAGTTTTGCCTCTCCTATCTTTCCCTTAAGCTCAGTTTTTCACGCTAGCCCTTTCAGAGTTTGTGGACTCAGTTTCTGTTAATTTGTTCCATTTGATTTTATTTCCTTAAGTGTGCCTTCCTTTCTGTTCTATCACATCTCTCATTCCCACAGATTTTATGTGCAGAATGGTAATGCTGTTTTTCTGGCAATGCTGCTTCTCTGCTACTTTAAAGGTGACAGTAAGCTGCCTCACTGACAGACAGGAGCATGAGACCCCCTTCTAAAGGACGACAGATTTGTCGGAGATTGTTTCAGGGTTATGCAAGACCAATTGTTCCTGGGAACTGTGAGTCAGTCTCTATTGCCTGCAACAGATGATGTTCACAGAATTTAAAATAAATAAAGTATTTTTACCACTGGTCCAAAATGTTAAAAAGTATCAGCATTTTCTTTTCCTTTTTTTTTTTTTAACATAGATGTATCTGTAATAATGATTACAGTAGCTACCCTTATACTTTTCATACTTGTAAATGCACTTACCATATACACACTTCCCCCACGTTAAGTATACATAGAGAGGAACACACCTCAGAATTTTCCTGCTGTTGCTCTTATCCTGTCTATCCTACAGTCTCCTTGTGTATTACTATCAGGGCTTTCCATAGGAGATGTCCTTGACTCCCCCTACCACACAAATGTGCCTGCAGTTTGACCCATAAGCTGAGCAAAATGCACAGATGTTTTTTTAGTCTCCTTATTAGGCACCAGCTATGAATAAGATAACACATCACATTCTGTGCTGAAAACACTAGAACAAATTAAGAAAACATATATTGTATTCAGGAGCCATATGCACATAGCAAAGACATTTTTGGCTCACTGACCTGAAGACTGTCTTACCTGTTGATAGGCCATGTTGAGGAATAAGTACCGCTCCGATCTCCTCATGGGTAAGCACAGGCTGTACACCACGTGCACTGTAGCAAAGAAGAAACTGAGCAGCCCAAGCTGCTTCCGACACTGGAGCCAGCTGTCCAGCCAAGGCGGAAACCGCCGATACTTAGTGCCATAGTAAAGCTGGTAAGCAGCTGCAATAAGTCCTGATAAATACACTAGAGAAAGTAAAGTGATTGCAACAACTGGCAGAGTCTTGTTCACGATCTCAATGGGAATCTTGTAAAAGTCGCTCTGCTGGTGTCTCAGGTATGGATGGATTACATCTCTGATGAAGGAATAGATGAAGAAAAATGTTGCCAGGCTAATGGCAATCAGTACAGGCCCCTTCCACAGGGTGAACAGTCGCAGAGGCAAGTTTTCAATTTCCCTTGAAGATGACAATGCCCCCAAATCAATAGGAATAAAACGGAGCTTATGGGCAAGCTCAATAACTTGATGGCGAGCCTGAACATTGTTACTGCATATATAGACCTGTTGGGAAAGTCAAGGCAATTGTCTGTAGTCACAGAAAGAGACTCAAAGGTTAAAAATCTGCAACAAAACCGAAAAAAACCTTACGGTCCTCCAGATCAAAACTATGACACTACTGCTAAAATTGTACACTGTTATCCCAGCTCATATCACCATGATGACAATGAAATCACATAAAAATCCAGCCAAAGTTCAAATATGCACACTGATTTAGCAAAAGAGTAAACAAAAAAAAGATAAAGCAAATTGTTACCAATGAGCTGACTGTGGGATGTCCTGCAATCTGCCCACTGAAACCCCCCATGTCTACAGGACTGGACTGAACTTGAAACAAAGGCTAAAAGCATTTCAGAAAATCACAAGTTCTCTCAAAAATACAGGAATCTTGAATGATGACCCTAAAACAGTTGTAGCATAAACAGAATGCAAAGCAGAGAACTATGTAATCTCTTGATATGTAACAATTTTAGCTTAATTTCACAATCCAGACTTTCACAGATTCCAGCTTTGAATGTTTAACAGCAAAGACAAAAACTACTAATGAGTTCTAAAGACCAGTTTATTACACAGTGGAAAAAAATGCACTGCTATGTACTTTAAGGTTCCTTTAAAATTTACAGTAGGCTATAGTTTGCCCAACACTATTTGCTGATCATCTGCATTAGAGCAAACATGATCTGTTTTGACAGAATTGAATTACAGTGCAGTGCTATTCCAAAAGGGGATAAAACAAGTCTGGCAAGGTTATTCTTAAAATTATGCTAATTATGCATTAATTGCATTCCACTTAAATCTACCTGAAGAGACAGAAAACTCAATTTAATCTCTCAAAGTAGTCACATTACAGCAGTCATTTCTCATGTATTTCTCAGAGTCCAAAAAGCTGTGAAGGACTGGATTCCTGCATAGGCTTAAATCCTTTGTATCACCTCAGCAAAGCATGAAGAACATAAAGATGCCTTTTCTATATGCAGGATAGATTTGGGGAACATACTGGGAAGGAATTTAAACGTGATGTTCACAAGTAGTCCTGGATCCAATGAATCTTAGAAATATGTGTGCCTCCTTCTGTTTCCTCATACTTATGATTTTGGGGCAACTAAAAGCTACATAATTTCTTTCAATCCCTTTGTTGCTATTTGAAGCAAGTATTTTTAGAACAGCTGACTCCTAAGCCCTCGGATCAGGAGCTCAGATTTCTGTGCATCTTTTTCAATAGTTTACCCCAATACTGAAACTCAAATATACTGGGAAAGATTGTCTCTATCCTTGTATAAAGCATAAGGATAGACATGAACATATTTCCTACAGAAAACATTAAGATCCAACTCCTCTCATCTGTCTGTAGTCATCTAAAGGTCATCTGTCTACTCTAAGCTGGTATCCACATTTCCCTTGCAATCTTTAAAGATAAACAGGCAACTCAGGGAAAAATTCAGACCACTTACTCTATATGTCTTACAGTGGGATGAACTCGACTCTGAAAGTTTTATTGGCTACTAAAACATAGGCTAAAGGCCCAGCATTTTAGGTATGTTAAGTCAGGCAGAATGAATCCCCTGAGTTCTGACTGCTTACACTCAGTTCCTGTCATTTGCATCTTACAAAAAAGTTAAATTTATAATATAATAAAAATAATAGCACTTACCTGTCTGCTGGCATCCTTTGGTCCTAACTGCAGTGACCAAGCTGAAATGACATTGAATCCTTTGACAATCAGGGAATCAGGAAAAAGTGATGCCAAATACTCTGCATTGGAGTCTGGATATTGGTCTACTCTTGTATTATTGCTGACATCAATCAGAATTTTACCAGCAAGTAAATGTTTGAGGTCCCACAAAGAGGTGTAATGTTCTCTGTGTATGGCTACAAAAATGATGTTTGTTTTTGCAACTGCATCTTCATGATGAGTGACATCAACCACGTGGGGAAAGAACTCAGCAGCATGTTTAGGGTTTCTGCTTCCTACGACCACATGGTACCCACATCTGATGAGTCGAATTGTCAATGACTTAGCGAAGTCTCCACTTCCAATGATGCCTATTGTGACCTTACTGGCATCCTTGATGCCATTAGCAACATTTGGTAGAAAAGTTTCATTGAGGTTCTTGGGACTCCCCATCATAGAGATTGATTCCATATTTCCAAGACACAAAACCTACAATGATTTCTTCAGGGAAAAAGAAAAAAAAAAAAAAGAGAAAAAAGAGAAAACAACTGAAGGAAAAATGCAACATCATACAATTATGAGGCATCAGAATCCATAAACACCTCTGGAAACAAAACCTTTGGTTCTAAGTTTCATATTACATTTTCTTCTTAATAATGTATGTGCTTATCAACTTTCTTTTACAATGTCACTAATAGAAGAAGCAATAAGAAATATAAAACACTTAAAGCACTTCAATAATACAACTCCATTAGTAAATTATAATTCTTCCATCTTCTCCCATTCCCTACCTTCCACTACCCTGGAATGCTGGACCACAAGATAACTTTGTGCTCCTGAAACTAACAGTCAACAGAAAAATGAGAAGAAACATGTTAGGAAAACTGGATAATTATGGAAAAGGCTAGAAGGTAGAGAGTGCTGGCCTGGGATTGGCATGAAGACAGTGAGTTCATGGAAGTTGAACTCCTTTAAAAGCTTATCAAGTTATTACTGTGATATCCTCTTTTGGTCATGAAGGAATGGATGCAAAAGTCTTAAAGCTGCAAATGTCATGGCTACCACCATGACAGACATCCAGCTGTCAGCCTGGGAAATGGGCTGCCCACATGGATCCAATGGCAAAGACAACAAGGGAAATTCATCAAGGCCTAGTCGTGAGATCACTATTGACATTTCTAGGTCAGATTGCTAGGCCTGGCCATGGATTAAATGTGGATGTAAGGGTAAAGGATTCAAGGCCATGAGTCACAAATATGCTTAACAGGAATTTCCAACCAGGTAAGTAAGTCCTGGACATAAACACATGGGACGGCATTCCACAAAAAAAATAATAGCAGGAAGAGACACATTTCATGCAATAATAAAAGGGAAGATAGTTTTAAGACTCAAATTCAGTGCAGGAAGGGATGCTTTGAAGAAGGACAGAGACTAAGGCTCACTGAAAAATAAAACAAATACTACTGTATGTTTGGAGAGAAGTGGTCACAGAACTGCAATAAAGCTGTAACAAAGACATTAAAAAAAAAACCCAAACCACTACGGAAGTCTTCAGATGAAACCACAGTTATGACCTAAGTGGTTCTGCACTGTTGTGGTGGGTTGACCCTGGCTGAAAGCCAGGTGCCCAAAAAGCTGGTCTATCACTCCCCTCCTCAGCTGGCCAAGGGAAAGAAAATGTAACAAAAATGAGTTGAGATAAGGGCAGGAAGAGATCACTCACCAGTTACTGTCACAGGCAAAAAATTAACTGAATTTATTACCAATCAAAATTGGAGCAGGATAATGAGAAGCAAAACAAATCCTCCCAAAAAACACCTTTCCCCACCACTCCCTCCTTCCTGGGTTTAACTTTATTCCCAATTCTCCACCTCCTCCCCCAAAGCAGTGCAGGGAGATGGGGAATAGAGGTTATGGTCAGTTCACCACATGCTGTTTCTACTGCTGCTTTCTCCTCAAGAAGAGTCCTTCCCCTACTCCAGCATGGTGTCCCTCCCACAGGAGAGTCCTCCATGTACTTCTCCAACTTGAGTCCTTCCCACAGGCTACAGTTCTTCACAAACTGCTCCAGTGTGGGCCCCTTCCATGGACTGTAGTCCTTCAGGAACAAACTGCACCAGTAGGGGTCCCTCACAGGGTCACAAGTCCTGCCAGGAAGCCTCCACAGGTCCTGCCAGAAGCCTACTCCAGAGTGGGCTTCCCACAGGATCACAGCCTTCCTTTGGGCATCCACTTGTACTGGTGTGGGGCTCCTCCCTTCTCTGCTCTACCATGAACCTCCTGGGGCTGCAGGGGACAGCCTGCTCCACCATGGGCTGCATGGGCTGCAGGGGAATGTCTGCTCCAGCGCTTCAAGCACCTCCTCCTCCTTCTTGTTTGGCCTTGGTCCCTATACTGTTGTTCCTCTCACATATTCTCACTCCTCTCTTCCATGGCCACAACTACCTTTTTCTTACCTATATTATCCCAGAGGTGCTACCACCATCGCTGGTGGGCTCAGCCCTGGCCAGCTGCAGGTCCCTCCCAGACCCAGCTGGCACTGCCCCATCTCACACAGGGTAAGATTCCAGCAGCTGCTCACAGAAGCCACCCCTATAGAACTCCACCCCTCTCCCGCTACCAAAGCTTTGCCAGGCCAACCCAATACAATTTTAGAACAGGAATGAATTCTGAAAATGAAGGAGGCAGTGAGGGAAGGCAGGCTAACAAGCAGCAAAGAGAATCCACAAGGTTGCTGTCTTGGGAACAACCAAAAGCAGACCACATGGAAAGGAGGAACCAAACAAACCTCTTCCTGAGCCACCATCCAAGAGCTGATATGATGGTACCTAATCATCAGTGGGGTACTTTACCCAGCCAATAGCTAGGAATACAGCATGTGTGGTGAACAATCTCCCACAATTAAAAGTAGCTCTGTGTTTCAGAAATTGAAGGAAACTACTAAAAGAATGGGTACTTTTCATTTCAGCTTTGACTAGAAGGGAAGAACTCACTGAAACTGAACTCAGATGCTAAAGAAGGAAAGAGTGAAACTGACCACAAAGTCAGTATACCAAGAAAAGATTCTATCAATGAACCTTTCTGGCAGAGGCAGACCACATAGATTTTTATGTATGCACTGAAAAAAGCCTTGACTTCTTTCTTACCATGTGACCTGGAATGTGTCTAACACATGACCAAAATATCAGTATTTCCTGCACCATGACGGATTAACACCTAGGAACATAATGAGAATGGCTGTATTTTGATCAGATACAAGATATAACTGGATATGACAGAACATGAATGTGTTCACCATGTGATTATAGAGGCCCACTTCAGCTCATGCCATGTGACATGAAGGTGCTACAAAACTTTGGGATTGAAAAGAAACAGCGAAGAGGAAATGGGCTACCAGTACCATTTAACCTGCTGCAGCCTACTTTGAGTTTTAGTCCAAAGGATCCTTAGGAGAGTGCACATATAGGAGTTGGACATGATGAATTACTCTGGTGAGCTGAATTTGGCCCATTGGTCGAAGCTTCTCACTGCCTGTTCTAAGGAAAATACAATGTGAGTAACAGAATAGAACTAATAGATTTCATACAAAAACCTCAGAGAATAGGCTGATGTGATTTTAAGGCAAGTAGTCCAAGAGATGGAAGAGAGCAGAGAGCTGGCAGTAACTGAAAGGGACTATATTAAATGCATAATAGCAATTCAGAAGAAAGAGTGTCTAAGACTGTTTTAACTAAAACAGAGGAGCCCTAATGATCTGAAAAATCACACCAAAAATAAATAAAAGGTTTGTGTGCATGGCTAAGGAACTCGTATAAAGAGTTAAAGAGACAGTGCTATCATGTGGGGATAAAATCAGAACAATGGTACAGAAGTGAGTTGTAACTACCGAAGAACATAAATGGTAACAAGTGAAGGTTCCATATATACATTAAAAAGAGAAGATAGAAGGCAAAGTTTATAACTTCAGAGGAAAAGGAACAAATGATAAGTGATACAAAGTAGGACAAAGTGTTAAACTTCCTTATTTTGGCCCTCAACAGAAAAGTTAACTGTGAATGGCAATTTAATGAAATTCCTTTTACAGGAAGACAGGTGAGGTCAAAGTCAAAAAAAGGTATAAGTCAAGAGTAAAGAATAAAGTTAAAGATTTTAAAGTCAGCAGATACATATGAAACCAACTCTTGATGCTTAAAATGCCAATCAAAGTGACATCTTGAGAACCCGACAGGACAAGACAGGCAGACTAGCACATTCCATTAAAAGAATGGAGGAGGAGGACTGAGGAAAGAGAATACTTGTTAGCCTAACTTCAGCCCTTGGACAGATTTTACATCAAGTTACTGAGCAATTTGCAAATAGATGGGAAGCAGATGATAAGAAGTAGCTGAGGTGGGTTGTTCAGGAACAGACTGCAACAAAAACAACCTTCTTTTACGAAATATATGCCTTGAGAGTTCTAAAAAATAACAAGAATTGCATAAATTTGACCTTTGCTGTTAGATAAGCCAAGAGACCACCACAACGCTGTGTCAGCCAGACGGTGACACTCGTGAGAGCCTGCTCTTGGAAAAACAACTGCTGGAGGAGAAAACCGAGCGAGCGCAAGCCGGGCGGGCACCGGGCGTGTGACCCTGCCGGGCGGGCACTTACGGGGCGCGGGGCTGGCGGCAGGCCGGGGGCGGCCCGGCGTCCCCTCGGCGTGCTGGCGGAGCGGGGATCCAGCGCAGGGCAGCTCGGCGGGGCCCTGCTCCGGGCCGGCATCTCCCGCTGCAACGACAACACGCCGTGATACCGCCCGCCCGGCCCCTCCGCCCCCGGGCACAGCCGGGGCAGCGCTGCCAGGCCCGCCCGCCGCGGGGCGGGGGCTGCCCGGCACCCTCGCGGCTGAGGGAGGCTGGGCCGCTCCGGTCCGCTCCGCGGGGGCCCGGCACCGCCAGAACCTGCCCGGAGCCGGGGGCAGCCGTGGCGCAGCCGCCGCCACGATGGGCAGCGGGGAAAGCCCCGCTCGGCCGGGCCGGGGAGCGCCCGGCGGGGATGGGGCCCGTCCCGCCCCGGCGCCTCTCACCTCCGCCCGCCCGGCAGGAGCTCCGCGCCGCCGCTCCTCCGCACTGTCCGGCCCCGCAGTGCCGGGCGGGCGGGGAGGCGGTGCCTCTCCTGCCGCCGCGACCCGCCCCTGCGGCCGCTCCGCCACGGCAGGCGGGAGGCTGGGATGGAGCCGGGAGTCCTAGTGGGTGACAGGTTGACCATGAGTCCGCAGTGTGCCCTTGCTGCCAGGAATGCCACTGGTATCCTGGGGTGGTATCGGGAGGAGTGTGGCCAGCAGGTTGAGGGAGGTGATGCTCTCCCTCAACTTGGCTTTAGTGAGGCCACATATGGAGTGCCGCGTCCCGTTTTGGGCCCCTCAATACAGGAAAGACAAGGAGCTATTGGAGGAGGTCCCGCGGCTAGGCACAAAGAAGATTATGGGTCTGGAATTTCTCTCTTATGAGGAGAGAGTGCAGAAGCTAGGCCTGTTTAGTCTGGAGAAGAGAAAACTGAGAGGGGATCTCATTAATGCATATAAATATCTCAAAAGCGAGTGCCAGAGGATGGTGTCAGACTCCTTTCAGTGATGCCCAGTGATAGGACAAGGAGCAATGCTCATAAATTAAAACACACAAAGTTTCACCTCAACACAAGGAAGTGATAGAGCACTGGAACAGCTGCCCAGGGAGATCATGGAGTCTCCCGAGACATTCAAAACCCACCTGGATGTGTTCCTGTGTCACCTGGTCTAGGTGACTCTGCCTTGGCAGAGAGGTTGGACTAGATGATCCCCAGAGGTCCCAAGCAACCCTAACGACTCTATGTTTCTGTGATTTCGTGACAGTACCAGGGGTCAGTGGCACATGGGGAGAGGGGCGTGGGTGGCCTCGCAGTGCCCTCAGCCCCAGCCATCATCACTGCTCCAGCCCCAACCCCTCTAGCCTGCGCAACATCCCCAGCACAGGCAGAGCCAGACCTGGGTCCCATTGACACAGTGCGGGTACCTGGCCAGTCTCCAGGGGAGCTCACAGCCCTGAGGGCAAAATGCACCTCCCAGACCTTGCCTTGCCTCGAGCTGCCCTGGCCCAGGTGGTTCTTCAGTGGGAACCCACCACCAGCCTCCTTTCCTTATCCTCTCCTGGCAGAAGGGTGCTGCTGCAAGCAGTTCCAGCTGCAGGGCTGCAGGTGAGGGATTAAACCATCCTATGTCACAGAATGGCTGCGTTGGAAGGAACCCAATGAGCATGATTGTTCAGATCTCCTTCCAACCTGACTGAATGTTTCCAACGATGGGGTATCCACCACCTCTCTGGGCAACCTCTTCCTGCTTTTCATCACCCTTGTAATTTCTGAGGGGGATGTTGAGTGTCCCTATGGCCCAGAGCACCTTCCTGGGTGTGGGGAGTGTTTCACTGTGTGACCACTGTACTCTGTGTGGGTGGCAGTTGTGCTCTAATTTCAGTGTTACGCAAAATCAGAAATACAGGATTCAGCCATATAAAAGCAAAGCTATCCTCAAGATCTGAATTCTACATTATTTGACAAGGAAACTTCCAGCTGAAGACAAATGGAGCTTTTTTCTGAAAAAGCACAGCTTCTTATTTTAATATTTTCTGATTTACCAAATAAATTCTATCTCTCATTGAGATGTATGTATATGTGACAATGCACAGCCCTCAACCCTTTGTATTTATTGCAATAAAACTGACCAACCTACGTGAAGATGTATGTCTTTCATGTTGCAGCGAAAAAATTGACACATGCACAGATGATTGAAAAGAAGCCATATGATCACACTGAAACACTGAACCTAATTCTTTTCATCCTCTGTGTGTGCATACTGACTTTGTATAGTGCATTAAGTGAATGAACCATATAATCAATTCAAACATTTGTTTCAATATATAGTCATGATAACCATGCTGTAGAATTTGAAAAGAGGGCTGAGACACTTTCCTGTTGTAGTTCAGAAGCCATTCTTCTCCCGTCCCAATTATTAAATAAGTAATTTTCTTGACATTGAAAACATGTATTTTTAAATTATTTTTTATTTGGTAAACAGGAGCACAGAAATTCTGTTGCCTAGTTTTCCAAACTGCATTTTCAGCTCCAAGACACTGAGGACTGAGTCAATACCCCACAGAAGTAAACAAAAAGGTGACTCCATTGACAGACTACTCAGAAAGGAATCGGCCTTTTCCATGGTGAGAACCAGCATGTCAGCTCTTCAGTTTCTTGCTCTAATATTCTCCTTTGCTCTGCTATTGATTCAAAGGTTGTCGTTCTAGGCTTGTTTTTCAGTAGCCAGCACAGCTATAATAGTATGAGCTCAAAAATTTTTAGTCCAGCCAACAAATGTATCAAAAGAAAAAGGCATAATTTTTCTTTCCTGCATTATTTGTGGCTGATACGCTACCTTATGTGACTCTTGTTACCAGAAGGTTATTTACATTAAAATGGGCATATTTAGTCATGAGACTAACTCATGCACCTCGAAATGACGATGCATCGTACACAATCAGAGTAGTCACAATCTTATAATTCTTAATTTATTTGAATTAAAGCCTTAATAAGAAGGCTGTAAACCTGAATGTTTGTCATTGCTTTCCTGCAGGATTTTTTTTACATTATTACTGCAGCATAAAGTCTCGAACAGAAGACTCAGACTGTTAGGAGACAATACATTAGATCTGTGTTTATTTTTTAACAAGGAGGGAGCTTTTTTTCTTACACAGGTAGTATATGGTTAACGATCCTTGATTTGCTACTTGTTTCTTGTAAAGCTGTTTGGCTTGTGAGCTCTCATGAGCTGCGTTTTCTTGGTAAAGCATCACAGGTTCTGCCTTCCAGCCTGCACTACGTAGGGTGTGCCAGTTCTGACTCTGGCCCTTCATTCCTAACCCACTTGGGTTCCCACGGGTGTCATTCAGTGTCACTTGTCACCTACAATGTTAATTTCTTCTACAGCTGTTTCTCCTTTCTTGTGTGAAAATCTACCCAGCTTTAGCCTTTGGAACAGTGGTAAATGAGGGAACTTTTAAATCATGGTCATTTATTTACCAGCCTGTTGAACAGATACCACTAAAGTGGTTTCTAGTACATTCAGAAATTAAAATCAAGGCAGTTTGATGGACTTAACTTGTTCCTGTGCTTTCCTTGCACCTTTTTGAGGTTTTGCAGTTTGAAAATTTTTGTTTGAAATCGGGACTAAAACAACTACAGCCTTCCTTCCATTGCTGTGTAATGCTGATCTATTCAATCAGGAAAAGCATAGATGGCCCTGTTTTGCACGGAGATTAGCATGAGAGCAGCGGGTATATAAATACCATTTGTATACTTAAGCTCACAGCAAAATTGGACTATGTCTCTTTAGTGAGAGGATGAAATTGGATAGTTACAGGTATCTCAAATTATATACAAAGATCTATGTCTGCATAATTCTCAGATACCCTGTTAAACGGGTATCTTAAACCATCTGTTAGAAAAGGGGATTACTTTTTTTTAGCAGGTGTTTTTCTTTTTTTATCAAAGTCCAGGGTAGTAGTATTATTTCTTTCTTTATGGGATGGAACATAACAAAGGACTTTCCAACTGGCAAATGGAACAGATATTCTGGTTCTTCCTCTTGGCAATGGGAAAGCAAAGCCCGGGGGATTTCCCCATGGCAAGAGAGTGAAAACAAACACAAAAAAATTTTGCTTCCTCTCAGGGCAACAAACCCAAATACAATAGTTTTTGGCATACTACCCTCAACAAAGCTAATTTCGTAACTTAGCAGAAAAATACAGTGTTTCCCAGCCAGGAACATTCAGACCATCTAATTTTTTCTTATGGCAGCCTGCAATTAATCTAAAAATAAAACTTATACCTCTTACCCATTCTTTATAAGGACAAAATGGATCTGCAGAGATCTGATGTAATTGTTTACTTGAAAAAATTTTTTTTGGTTAAATAAATTAAAAAACCCCACCACCCTAACTATTAATTAAACAAAAATAAAAAATAAATGAATGCCTCAACTAAAATCTCTTCTTTCACTCTTTAGATTTCATCAATTTTTATGTCCCCTTTTCACTAGCTCTCTGGATATCACTACATTTTCAGACCTTGTAGGATCTAAATTTCAGTAGCCAAAAGCAAAGAAAGAAGCACAAACTGAAGTAGATGAACAAAAACACTTAGATATTCTTTTGAGAAGAAGAAAAGAGGAGTGGGGAGGAGAAGATTGGAGAGAAGATGAGAGAAGTGAAGTGAAGAAAATGTAACAAAGAAAAAGGAAAGGAAAAAGAATAGAGAAAAAAAAGAATGAAGAAAAGAGAAGAAAAGCACATTTAATAAGCTGTAGTTGAGAAATACTGGCAAGGCATGGGAAAGAACACAAAGTATCTCCTTCTTCACAAGAGAGAATACAAACTAAGGGCAATTAATCCAAAGTAGATGATTGCTCCACAATCTGTTCTACACCTCCCTGTAAAAAAAAAAAAAAAAAATAAAAATTCCAGTAGAAAAACAGTGAGGATTGTTTCTGATTTTATGATTAATCAGATAAATTTTATTCACCAGAAAAAAGCTGAAGGAAGGAAACCTTTCCTAGCTTTCTCTGACTATGGTTTTCCATAACTATTGTTGATGCTAAGTTGAGGGCTTTCAGCACCTTTGTTCTTGGCTTCATGGGAAGCACAAAATCACGTATGAGCTTTCCACTTCTCTCTGAAACAACATTTGCTTTGTGGAGTAAGAATTAGAAGGTTAGAAATTTTCTTCTTGGTTTGTGTCTGCACATCTTAGAAGGCATCTATTAAATGAGACAGTAGGTTCTAAAAGGGTGATCTTGTGCGTGCAATAATTGTTAGACTCAAAGCCAGGGAAAAAATAGATTATTTTTATAATGCAAACAATTGCATCCAGGAATACTGCAAAACTGAAAAACTCATTCAAAAGACGATAATACTTCCCTGAATACTAAAGTAGCTGAGAGTAGCATAGGCTGGATTGTGGTTTGACCACCATTTGACAGCCTAGGACTAGTGTGTTTTACTAATAGGATTTTAGTTCTTTGAATTCAAATTTCCATCACAAAGCTGCAGAT